ATCCTGCTGTCCTCTCCCTCCGCCTTTGAAAGCCGAAGCTTTCGCAAGCAAGGGCATGGCTGCTAAAGGTAGGTTATTCCAATCAACGACTCTGCTCCCACAGCTTGCTTTTCTTTTGAATCCAGAGCTTTCCCAATGAAGGGCTTCGCCTGTAAAGCTTGCTGTCCTTTTCAAGGCCTTTAAAGGCACCACCAAAAGGCCCTCCCCGGCGGGAGTTTATAATTGAGGGGGTGTTTATAATTGCGAAGAACGGCCTTTGTTAGTACTCCATCAGGATGGATTGATTTTTGGCTCCGGGAATAAGGAATTTTATTAAGGAAGGCATGGTTTCTGAGGCCGTCTAAATCTGAGTAGTTGCAGTTTCTCTCTCTCTGCAGACCTGAAGCAGTGGTAGTAGTTGCAGTTTCTCTCTTTCTGCAGACCTCAAGCAGTCCTAGTAGCTGCAGTTTCTCTTTCTCTGCAGACCTCAAGCTCTCGCAGTAGCTGCAGTTTCTCTCACTCTCTCTCTGCAGACCTCAAGCTCTCGCAGTAGCTGCAGTTTTTCTCTCTCTCTGCAGACCTCAAGCTCTCGTAGTAGCTGCAGTTTCTCTCCCTTTTTCTCTCTCTTTCAACCAACACACAACAACACAGAACAAGAAGTATCTAATTTCGGGGATTTGGGCCGGCAGGTTTTGTAATTGAGGGGGGGTTTATAATTGAGTTCCGGGGGTGGGGTTTTGAAATTGAGGGGGTATTTATAAAAAGTAGGTCAACATTAATGATTCCCATCCCTATGCTGCCCAGACATTTTCAATGATCCAAGATAAGAATGAAATGGCTCTCCTACCATTACAAGCAATTACAGGGGTTGAGTAGGGCCTCTTGAAGACATTCAGAAATCCCTTAAAGGACCCAACAGATGGACAAGAAAATTCCTTCATTGTCTGGATGCCGAGGTGAGGCGGTCCCGTCATGTGACCACACCGGACTCCTGCAGCTTTATGTAGAGGCCGTACTTGAAATAGGCGTTGGAATTGGGTATATACTATGACCAGGAGCCCTACATTAAACAAACGCTAACTGTTCAGGCTTCCACAGTGTCTGGAGATTAGCAATTTCGTGTATGTTAAACAGCGGGAGAGAAACTTACAAAGGTATCTGGCAATCCAAGCCCGCACGACAGAGAAGCCTGCCGACTGAGGTTGAAATCATGCCTGGGTGACTCAACTTGCACCCATTGCAGCTGCATAATATGGGGGGCTTAGTAACTTAATCAGGGCTTTAGCGGGTATATTGGACCATGGCTCTATAACAAGGACCTCTAAGCAACATTCTCTGACGTTAGTTGGGGTGGCATGCAATAGAAACAATAAATCCAACGGACCCCCAGACCGAATGCTGACAGTGATTTTTCTTGGCATTCTTCTGGTTGTCTCTTAGGACTTGAACTTTTGGGGTTTCTATAGTATAACTATAATAAGGAGGCTAAAAGTTTAACTTTTAGGAGGGTTCAGAGGTTAGGCAAGTTTTCAAGCTTCTACATTAGATTACCCTTGTAGTACCCCCTGAAGATTACTTTTACAACCGTTAAGCTGGGTTTGGAGTACCATACTTGAATACCTTTTCTGGTACCTGTTCCTTCAAGGCACCACTATACTTTTTTCTCCCTGGTTACTTCAAAGTCCAGTTAAAGGAGCCCTTTCTGGTATACGTACTTGTTCAGGCTTCCACCTTAGGCAACGCTTCGTTTTTTTATCGGCGGAAGGTTCAACAAAGAGAATCAGTCCCCCCATGGGCAAAACGGTCAGAGATTTAGGGTTTAAGGTCTGGAGGTCTTTAGGGTTTAGGGTGGGGTCTGGGGCGGGTAGTATCCTGGTCCTCGTGGGAGCTGTTCCAAATCGCGAAGGGTTGCAGGGGGTCGGTATGATTGTCCTTTTGCAGGCCCTGCACATGGGGGGATGTTATGAAGCCCAAAACAAATTGTGGAATTCACCATGACTCCTGGGAAGCACTTACCAGGACCTGAATTGCTAGCCTCTTGGAGTGTTTCTTCCTTCCTTGTCCTCCCGGACAGCCGCTAGAATTCGTCAGTAGTTTAGCACCAAGTATTTAGTCATTGGGTCCTTTGGATCCGCAGGGCAACGAGTGAACTGTGTGGGGAAGTACTGCTGGGCACTTTGATCGGGCGCCGGCCCCTGAAAGTACATAGGGATTTCCGAACATGGGACACCCTAATGTAGTACCCTAAATAGTAGGATCCCTGTTATAAGGACCCCAAAATAAGGTGCCCCTACATTTCGGAAACTCCTACATGGTTTCTTTGCATGCACAACAAGTGCTACAAGTTGTCGAGCTGCGGGATTCTGTTCTATTTACCCAAAGGCTCCATGTACCTTTATAGTAGATACTTAAGCCTTAAATGTGTCCCTATTTAGGTAATGTATGTACTATATGGGTACATGGAGCCTTAGGGTTATAGGGGTCTCTAGAAGTAGCAACCCTGACAATCCGCATAGAATTATAAGGTAGCTATTCACATAGTAGCACCTGCCCCCAAACCCTTTTCTTGTCATGAAGGTGCCTGTGTTAATATCCTTGCAGGGAGTCAACAATCTTCAGCTTCCAACCTTGGACCATAAATGGCACCCGTTCTCGATCTCACTATCCCTCAACCCCAAAAACTATGCACCCCAACCCCTGAACCCTAAACCCCAAATGACATCTGCATACCCTCAACGAAGCCTAGATTCCACAAACCCCAGTAACTATCCTGAACGAGTGGGTTTCAACAGCGAACCCTATTTGGAGGATCATTATTGGACTTAGTAAGTAGGGCTATTGTACGTACCTGAACAAGGTTATTAGTAGGTATAACTATAGTTACATTACAACCCTACTTACTAAGTCCCCTGATCCTTTAAGTAAACCCTAAACCCTAATATTATCCCTATAATTCCCTTACAGGAACCCTTTAAAAATAAAACCTACTTTAAGTAGCTTTGCAACCTCCTGGGACACTCAAGGTATGCTAGCTGGCCTCATGTGCATCGGTGCCGTTTCTGGCACGGGATGGTACATGAGCTCCGCGGCACTGTGGTTAATGCGTTCAAGGTTTCCGAAGCACCCAATGCACTTTGATTCAGCAATATACCTTCAGCTAGATAGCGATCCTTGATGTGATTCACGGTGCTGTTCTAATTTAAATATGTGTTCCGGCTTTTTGATTGAGGAAGGACTTGCATATCTAGCTTGTTCAAGCTATTGTCTACGCAAGTTGGTTGTGTGTTCGTACTTGAATGTCGCAGAAACTGCATTGTGAGGTGTGTAAGCATAGGTGATGGAGATTGGTACATTTTCTCCCAAAGCTTAACGCTACCGTTCAGACCGACATTGCTTCTGCAAAGTGCTGACCAGTCACACTGACCCAAACCCTAATCCCTGAACGCTATACCCTAATCCCTAAACGCTAAACCTTCAACCCTAATCCCTGAACCCTAATTAAACCCTAACCCCTGAACCCTAAATCCTATACCCTGCATGATCCCTAAGCCTTAAACCCTCAACCCTAGATTAACCACCAGGTTACTCCACGGCGCAGGCATCGCTGGAGAATGCCGGCTCTGACCCCTTGCTCTCAACTTCTGGGGCTTTGGGGTGTCGGATTTACTGCGTAAGGCTTACTTAGAGGGTCATGGGACTTAGTAACTAGGGTTATAAGTACCAGTTAATTGGGGTTATACGTGGATATAACTATAGTTACTTTACTTAAGAACCCTACTTACTAAGTCCCCTGATCCTCCAAGTAGGATTCATAGAGGAGATTTTGAAGGTATAGGTTTTACGGCGTGAGGCTTAGGATTCTTTCAGGATATCGGGTTTTGGGGTGGTGGGCCAAAGTCTTTGACTTGTATGTGGAATCCTGTGGTTGGTTTTCAGGGGTCCCTTCAGGGTGCGTTGGGGCTTCTGGGGACATCTAGCGCCTCTTATCTGCCCGAGCAGAATTCGAAAACTCTTTAAAGGTACGTGGACGCTCTTGGTGAAGCTCAGCCTCATATTACTAGGACATCGGTAGCTCGGTTTTTAAAGCGTGTATACAGCCTACTCAGCCCTACTCTTAGCCGTGCTGCTGAAGTAAAACCGGGCAGTGAGACCAGTAGACCCGAACCCAGGCTTAGTGTAGAAGCCTGAACCAAATATGGACACCAGTAGTCCAGAACCTAGGCTTAGTATAGAAGCCTGAACTAGTACAGTACTATGTATTAATATTCCTTCGGGCTGCTTGTCGCAGTTTGCATACTACATACTCCGCGGCCCTATTGCGTTATTGAGGCCCCGATGTGACGCACAGATTCCGCAAGCTTTAAATTCAGTGCCTCAAACTCGAGGCTTGAGATCTGAATCTCTCTAGAGCCTCAAACGTTCCTTGGTTCGTTTAGACCTAGGATTTAGGGTTCAGGGCAAGGGTTTAGGGGTTTAAAACTTCAATACAGGTCTTGAACCCAAAGGGTCCCAGGTGCTTTTATGGGGGGCTACTTCCTCGAATCATAATAATAACTCCTAAAATAGAAACCTAGACCCTCCATGGGCCGTCTATTAGACCCTAAATGCCCCTTATTTGGGACCATATACCCCTATTTGAGGGTACAAGGAGGGTCCTGGAACTTTACATTCTACTACAGAGGTACTTTGGTCTCTTTGGGGAAAAATAACATTACAGGAAAGTTTACCCCCAAACCTTACTCCAACTATTGAGGCAGGCCCCTACGCGCAACTCTGCACTCTTAGCCGGTCGCAGCTCCTAGACACAGGACCCAAAACTTAAGACCCAAAACCTCTCAACCTTAACCCCTAAACCAGCCTTGTCCTTTTCATGGTTCCCTCAAAGGAATAAACAGACCGGCTAGTAGACCTTCTTAAAGAATTCCGACTAAGGGATGTAGGTATAGGGCTCTGTCTATTATTTCTAGAAGGACAAGAGGGGCCCTAAACTCTCAACCCCAAAGCTCTAATTCCAGGACTTCATGGCAAATATCCCTCTCTACGTGGAGTCGAGCCTGAAACATCGCTTGGACCCCATCCGCTTTCACTTGAAGGCACCGGAGCATTGCCGAACAGTTTGGGTTTTGTGGTTGTGAGGTTTAGGGTTTTAGGGTTTTGGGGTTTTGGGTTTAGGGAGTACCATACTTGATTACTTGTTTTGGTACCTGCTCCTTAAAGGAACCACTATGAAATCAAAGTTTGTAATTTTTCCCCCTGGATACTTCACAGTCCTCAATTGTGGGGTTATGGGTTTAGGGATATCCCATGGGTTTGAGTTTGTTGGTGGTTTAGGGTTTAGGGGGTAGGGTGTTGCCATTCTTGCGGGATGATCTAAAGAGTAGATCCCCGAATTTGTGGCCCTATACCACGAAAGGGTATCTCCATAGGAATCATCTTACGGGATCTACGTTTGGGATCCTCCCAGAGATCTGCGTTGGGGCAGGGCTGTGCCAGTCACACCTCTGAAACTTTACCTGAGTAGCTAGGTGGATACACGTTTCACTTTTAGGGATACGGTTGATGATGTAAATCCTGCATTACCCATAGTAAGGAATATACCATAAATCCCATAGTTTAGGGTCCTTAAGGTAATGCAGGATTTATATCATCAACCGTAGTAATACCCACTATAAAACCCAAAGTGTACACTTTTTGGGGCTTACGACCTCAGCAACTAAGTTACAGGATGTCAGAGGTGGAGGGACTATGGGTTCAGGCCTGGGGATTTTTGGGGTTTTCCGAAAATTAGGGGTACCTTATCTTGGGGTCCGTATGATGTCTACTATTTAGGGTACTATGTTAGGGTCCCCCACTTGCGGAAACTCTTGTTTGAGATTTAGGATTTAGGGGTTAAGGCGGTTTTGAGCTTCATGGTTTAGGCACCGGGTCTTGGCTTCGGGGAATTAGCGCTTAGGGCTCGGGGTTTAGGGCACACGCGGTATCAACAGTCAGCAGTAACCTCAGCAGCCTGTCGACAATGCGACCTCCAATCTTTAGCATTCAGGCACAAGCCCTAAAGCCCTAAATCCTAAACCCTGAATAGTTGTGTTCGTAATCATCCACCCCCTGAAGTCTCAAATGGCCATACAGTTCCTTCAAGGGCTCCTTTGAGGGTGCCATATTCTATAAGGTTTAGGATAGTCTACACCAACTAGCTAGACTGCAAAAACGCCGGCCCCAGGACAGTCCCTTCTGTTAGGATAAGGCTCCATGTACCTACACTTCGGACTTGAAGTCCGATCCCAAAGGCTCCATGTACCTTTATAGAAGGTACTTAAGCCTTAAAGGTGTCCCTATATAGGTACTTCAAGGCCTAAGTATGTACTATATGGGTACATGGAGCCTTAGGGGATATTGGTAGTTCAAGGCCTACGTAGATACCAGTTGGGCACATGGGGAATAAGTGAGCCAGTAGTTTCTCTGATGTACAACACAGGCCTTCCATCTGGTCAAACGATGTTAAAGCTGAGCCGTAACTTCCAGGCTCAACTTAAGAGATTAAATTCCAAGCACTATCGTGATAAGAACCCCTACCTTAACCCCGAATAACATACCTTTTGCAGGACTTATATAAGGAAGTCAGAATAAGGAACCCTAAAACGGTAGGTTATTCAGGGTTAAGGTAGTGCTACAATTCACTCCGAGGCCGGGAATGACCCCAAGCCCCTGAAGCCCTAAACCGCAAAAAACCCTAGAGCTCTCAAGTTAGAACCCCAACCCTAAACTCCCTAACACACCGGCCCTAAATCTCTAAAGCAGGCCGGCCTCAGCATGCTCAACACGAGGGGCGTGGATGTCGCCACTTGGGACGGGATCTATCAGATACTCGGCTGCCTAGATGTAGTGGGTTTCGGATGCAGTGGGTTTGGAGGTTCAGGGTTAAGGGGTTTAGTGCCCCTCACAGAGACCTTGTTAAACCCAAACCCTAGATAAAAGGAGTCTTAGCCAAGCAGAAGCACGGAGCCCTCACAGCTTCACGGAAATCCTCATGTGACCAGTTTGAATGGCTTGAGGATATAGGCTACTTGGAGGGTCGGGGGACTTAGTAACTGGTTGTTTTATGAACTTATAAGTACCATAACCCCCATTAGGGTCCCTTTTAAGGTGCTTATAAGCCTACTTTACTTACTAAGTCCCCCGACCCTCCAAGTAGAGGTCTCAGGAATTTGGGGGCTTGTCCCTGAGCCGGGCCCTACACAGTCTTAGTCTATGTCACCTCGGGTCGCATTCAGGATCCTATTCAGAGGTTCAGGGCACTTAGTGTGAATGTAGGTTTAGAAGTCAGGCAACCATAGTTATATCTAGTTCTAACCTTGATCACTGTACTCAGAACCCTACTTACTAATTCCCCTGAACTTCTAACAAAAACCGTAAACCCTAAACCCCAAACATCCTTAAACCTTAAGAAAGCCCCCTGAGCCACAGGCGACATTGGAGTACTCAAGACTACACCCAGAGCCCACTACCGATGACGCAAATTTATGCCTGTAGTGTAAGTGTTCGATGCGCTCTCTCCTAAATAAACGCTCATTTAAATTAAGAAAACAGCTTAGATATGGCGATTGCTCTGGCAGCTTAGATGTAGGGGCAAACGGATTATGGGGCATGCAAGGGTTTAGGGTACAGCTGCGTGAGGTGCGGCAGAAGGCCCGTTCCCACCCTTCAAATTCGAATTCCACTTCCCCCAACAGTCTTGAGCGCTACCATCGGGTTCCTGGAACAAGAAATCTGGCCTATGATCTAGGCAGCTTGTCCGGCATAGGCACCAGCCGAATCTGCCCGAGGATCCGCAACTACACCACGCCGTTTCTCCAGAATTTCTTCGGGGACACCAAGCTCCACAGCTGGAATGAGTCTATCTCATACCTTAGTTCGGAATAACTTACCTTTCTAAGGACTTATACAAGGAAATCATAATACTAAACCCTAAAAAAGGTAGGTTATTCAGGGTGAAGGTAGGGCTTAGTCCTCTGGAAGGCCTGTCAGTTGCTACAGTCTTGCAGTTGCCCTGTAGTTTGGGCCTCGGGGTTTAGGGGCCTAGGGTTCAGGGTTTTCCTAGACCGGGATTTGCACCACGGTGCTTGGATAGTCCGTTTTAATGTTTGGACCTTGCATTGAGAACATGAGTCAGCCAAAGAAACCTACAATACAGGAGGTCTCGGTAGGGTCTGAGAAATCGCGGACGAAACGTAGCATATTGATTGCTCGACGACGGTCATCGGCCTCTCTGTCCCTCAGGTGCTGCTATGGAGTCGCTGTGAACATGGGCTTTGACAAAGCCGATGTGGCGCCGTACGGTGCCCCTCTGGAATGCTTATAAGGTTTCGACCCAGTATTTACATGCTGTATGCCCTAAGGCTCAGACGTAGCAAGCCACTGTAGCAAGCCCATCCGTGGAGCGAAATGTTTGCGCGTTGTGTTTCATTGCGCACAATCCCTAAACCTTAAACCCTCAACCCTAAACCCCTAAGCCCTAAACCCTAAACCCTAGTCCCTAAACCCTAAACCCCACACCCCTAAGACCTTGACTGAAACCCTGAACCCTAAACCCCCTAGATGCACGTGCTTGTACCCAGGTTTGATCTGAGCTACAGGCCCCCAAGATACTTGGGGGGTCGGGGGACTTAGTAAGTAGTTAATAAGTAGACTTACAAGCACCCTAAAAGGGACCCTATTTGGGGTTATGGTATTTATATGGAGTAGCAGCCTGAAGTAAATAACACTACTCCTTACAAGTCCTCGTGGTAGGCAGACTGTGGTACCCCGCAAACCCATATTCTAGTTCTGGGTGTTAAGGCCTCTCGTTGGGTGAGAAGCTGGAACAAGCCCAAACTGCAAACCTACAACCCTAAACCCCTAAACCCTAAACCCCGAAACCCTAAACCCCTGGATCCACAAACCCAAATCGCCAAACCCTGAGTCCTAAAGGGTCATGAGGCTTAGTAAGTAGGTATATAACTATAGTTACACTACTTATAACCCTACTTACTAAGTCCCATGATCCTCTAAGAAAGCCTGAAGACACAGTCTTCCGAGGCGGTTGGCAGGGATTCCTCGATGCTCACCCGGGAAACTGGGGTGACGATCGCATGGTCAGCGACGTGGTGCTCATGGATCCCCGACTGCTTTACTTACCTTTGGTTAGTAGGGAATGGAGGAGTGGGGCACAGTTATTACTACTATCCATTCCCTACTAACCAAAGGTAAGTTTAACGGAGCAGCTTCCCATTGCAGAATGTTGATGCGGTGCAGATAGTGCTATCGGGACTGTAACCCTAAACCCTAAACCCTAAAGTACACTAAGAGTTATTAACTCGTCCGACCATGTTGAAGGTTTCCTTGTCAGGCATTACCTATAGTCTCCATTGTAGTTCCTTTTTGGGGTTACCTTTCGGGATCCTTAATATAAAATTGGTTAAACCAAAAAAACGAACTACAATGGAGACTATAGGTACTCTCAGATTTAGTAGGTAGGCTCTAAGCCTTCGAGATTTCTTTAATGATGTTCCTGGCTTGGAATCCTCCCAAAGTGTTCATGCTACTTTTAGGGTCATCGACCTGAGTATGCAGGGGTGTACTTTCCTAGTCGAGGCTATAAGTACCTACTGTAGTAGTGGAGTAGGTAACCTTTAACCTTTCTTGGGTAGTACAGTTCTTGTATAGCCCCTATACATGCAAAAAGCTTAACCTCTAGTTCCCCCATGATACCCGACAAGTAGGAGTAGATAGAACTGTGGCCACCTTACGTAAAACCCATGTGGCCTGATCTTAGGAGTCCCCACTTGACCCAAACCCAAAAGTACCATGCTGGCGGCGAGGCATATGTACCAGAAACCCGACTTAAAGGATCAGGGGGCTAAGTAATAAGTAAGATAGCTAAAGTTATAGTAAGTAGGCTTATAAGTACGATAGCTATAGCTGTATCTATGAAACACGGGAAGGACACTTAGAACCCGTCGTTTGAAGTCCAATGATTTTCTAACTAGGTGACCACTGAGGACTCTGCTTGCCAAACTTACTCTGGTATTGCAATACTAGCAGATAAGCTGTAGAGTCTGCAGAGTAGCTGCGGACAAGACACTCCACATGTCAGACTGTGTAACTTGAATCCTGAATGTTCCTTGGCTATCACGACCCTTTACAAAGAGTAACTCGCACACCTTCATGAAGCAAAACATCATGAAGCAAAGCAGCTTACACCATACGAAGGATAGCGCTGTGAGTTACCGGATACGCCTCATACCAAGTGCCTGTGACGCTACCACATACAGCGTCCCTAAACCCTATCCCTTACCCCCAAGCCCTATAAACCTGAAACCCTAAAATCTAAACCGTAAACCCGTGCTATCTAAGGGGTCTTCCCTACTCCACGGGGGTTGGGCTCCAGAGGGGTTCTCGAAGCTAAGGACAAGGATGCAGATGGCAACCCAACTGTCGTTGGACCGCCCGATCCACAAACGTAGGTTGGGGTTGGCAAGTGTTGGTTCTGATCTGAATCTAGGTTCAAGCCCGGGAGTTGCGGTTCAGTGGCGTCTGGAGCTTAGGCCTCCAGGACAGATTGAGTGTGGTATTTCAGCCGCAGGGTTTAGGGTTCAATAATATGGTTCAATGTACAGGGTCTGATTACTCAGACTGAACATTTACTCATACAGTAAGTCGTCATATAGGTATATGAGAGTTTCCGAAAATTAGGGTACCTTATTTGGGGATCCTTATTATAAGGATCCTACTATGTAGGGTACTATATTAGGGTCCCCCATTTTCGAAAACTCCCATATTATAGTCAGCCCCTAAGGGTGCAATGTTGGGCTGGTGCCGGCTGTCTGACGCAGGTACCAAAGTATAGAAGGCTCAAGGCTTCAGCATGCCGTGTTTACCGTGCTGGTGTTTATGGCAAGGTTTCGTTTTTTCCTTGAGCAGGTAAGAGGATGCTCTTTTGCTGTGGAGTTTGGTTGTCAGTGTTTTCCTTGAACCCTGAACCCCCAGTCCTAAATCCTAAAGCTTGAAAATCCTAAGCGCGAGACCCTTAACCCCAAGCCCTAAAACCCTATGAGCCCCACAAACCCAAAACCCTAAACACCCAGAGACTCCATTATCCTTTAATTAAGGAATATTCCTTCAATTTTGGTAGGATCCCTAATATGATTTAGGGTATATTCCCTAATCAAGGGATATTAGATTCCCTTAAACCCTAAACCCTGAAGAGATCCCTTAAAGGAGCCCTTAAGGATCCCTTTAAAGGAATCCTAGGTATATTCCTTAATTAAGGGCTATTGGAGTCTCTGGGAAGTCCTGAGGCCCCGAGCCGTAAAGCCTCAAAGCAATACAAACCCCAAGCCATATGGGTGGTTGTCAATTTGATGTACACCGCTAATCGACAACCACCTTTCTTCTGGCCTTATCGTCATTGGTGTCTGCTAATGACGGATCTACATGTGGGTGGTTGTCAATATTAGGGTCCCTCTTTGGGTCCCTATTATAATACGGCACCTATTATTTAGCTTACCCCAAAAAGGGAACTTAATCATTAATTTTGACAACCACCCATATTAGTATGAGCCCTAAACCCTGAAACCCCAAGCCCTAAACCATATAGCCCCTAAGCCCCACAAGCCTTAAGCCCTAAAAACCTAAACCGTAAACCCGAATCCCTACAACCCGAAAAGCTTTGCAAGCCCTACCCAAAGTCTCCATTGTAGTTCCTTTTGTTGGTTTAACCAATTCTATATTAAGGATCTTAAAAGGTAACCCAAAAAAGGAACTACAATGGAGACTATAGGTAAACCCAAGCCGCAGGAGTCGAGACAGAGTTCGAGAACGGCTCAGCAACGAACCCTGGGTCTGAATACCATGCGTTTAGGGCTTAGGGCTTTGGGGTTTGTCAAAGGGGAAAAGCCCCTGGGTCCCTATAATGGGCTATATAATGGGTATATCATAGCTCTGTTAAGGGCATATGCCTTTAAAGGGAACTACAGAAAGTTGGAATATGGTTCCAGGGTAGGATACCCTATAATTTACCATAAAGGATTTAGGATAATCATATTCCAACTTTCTGGCTTTTACTTTAGGGTTTAGGGCTTTAGGGTTAAGGTGTTTGGGGTTGAGGGTCTAGGGTTATACCTTTCTTTAGGGAACTGTTGCTTAAAGGAGCCATCCTAAAACCATGATGTTGTATCTGTTGTTGGATTTTTTCCGTAAGTCCTAGGCCTCAATATCATGGCTTCGTTTCCCCCCCCCCCCTAGACCCCCCCCCCCCAAGAAAGCTTTAGCAAGTGCTTGCCAAGGCCTCGGCAGGACATGTGTCACAGTAGCACCTCGGTAAGGCCTCTATCTTGGTTGCGTAACCTTCACAGGAAGCCTCCGATGGCCCTGATCGGCCACGGGGGTTCTGACATGGCCTGAGGCCTTGCTGAGGCCTTGCTGAGGCCTTGCTAAGGCCTTGCTGTTGCTGAGGCGTTGCATGCTGTTGGCCTGCCCGGCCCAGAGTTTGCCGAGCAAGATTCGTATGTGGGAAATGCCATTTCTCACTAGACGCTCGGAGGTGTCGCTAGAAGGGGGGGGTGGGTCTAGGGGGGGGGGGGGGAAACGAAGCCATGACAATAACCATTTTGAGATAAAGGTGTATACTTTTCTCTATGCTTCAAAGCCCAGGAACTCCTTCATCGCAAGGCCGCTAGATCCGGTGCGGCTGCTCGGCTGGAAGATGCACAGGAATCGTACTTAAAGGTTCAGGGTTAGGGTCTAGGGTTCTCCCAAGAATCTTAAAGGTTCAGGGTTAGGGTTTAGGGTTTAGGGTTCTCCCAAGAATCGTACTCAGAGGTTCAGGGGACTCCGTAAGCACGGTAGCAAGGAGTTGTTTGTAAGGAGATGTAACTATGAACGTCTGAATCATAACCCGCTTACTAGGCCTTCTGACTCTGACATTAGGTTTAGAAAGCTTACAGGACTTGCAGGGACCAGGGGCATTAGAAGGGCTGGATACTTCATTGCTCTCCACTACCCCCTACATGCAAGTCCCTAGACCCAAAAACCTGAACCGAGAGCCTTCCACCTTAGCCGAAGTACACTTCTCAGAGGCTCTACCACCGTCCGTGTCAGTGAGTAGTGAGTGTCGAAAGTAGGAATTTCAGAGGCTTGCGATTGAGCTTGTGAGGCTCTAGAGCTTTGTAAAGGGCTGCAGGGTTTGGGGCTGCGGGCGGTAATATAGGGGCCTACAGAATTACCTCTACTATTCTGGTGGTTCCTTCTTGTAACTCTAGTATAATATCCATCAAAACCTTACTATAATTTCTTATAGCTCTGGTATCATATCTCCCCAAAACCGCATTATAATTTCTTATAACTCTAGTATAATATCACCCCAAAACCCTATATATTATCGTGCCAGACGTTGGGTTCAGATCTGGGTTGCAGCGTTCGGGCACAAGTTTTTTGGTGTGTGGACCCTGGTCACGGTTTAGGGTTTAGGGTTTAGGGTTGATTTGGGAGTTTCCGAAAATTAGGGGTACCTTAGGGTCCCTTTAAAGGGATCCTTTAAGGGTTCCTATAAGGGATCTACAGGGTTTTGGGTTTAGGGAGTTTCCGAAAATTAGGGGCACCTTATTTTGGGGGGGTCCTTATAATAAGGATCCTACTGTTTAGGGCACTATATTAGGGTCCCCTATTTTCGGAGGGTTTACGGATCGGGGTTTAGCGTCTGGGGTTCGTAGCACTCACCCAAGCAGGCATTGGCAGCGTCTCTTACTTCGTGGTTGGTTGTATGTGCTTCCTTCCGAGGGTCTGAATACTGGCACTGGTAATGGTACATGCGACAAGTTCTGTGTTCTGCATCCGCCTAGGGCTTTGAGTAGGCAACCTTCAGTTTTCAGTTGTTATCTTACCGAAGCTTATGTATCCCCAAACCGCAAATATTAAACGAATGAGGTGGATGCAAATATGGAAAACTCGCCAGAACACACCAAACGGTTTCGTTTTGTTCCTGTCAGCAGAAATTTCGACATTCAGGGTTCAGAGGCGGGGCGAAGGTCGAGAATTTAGGCTTTAGGGTTTGAGTACCTAAACCCTAAACCCTAAACCCTAAAGGGTCTGGGCTTCCGCGAACCTCTGGCCGAAAGCTTACACACCGGCGTCTGAAGTCTTGGCTTCACCGCTGACTCTGGCATAAACCCAGATGCTGTTCAAGTGCCGAAATGCTGTTCCATACAGCGTGCATCTTGAGAGCAAGAGCGGGAGGAAAGCACCGAAGGTGTGGCCACACTAGAGCCACTTCATCGCAGCACTCTGAAGAGCTCCCCAATTGAACAGACCAGGCATCGCGTGCAGGCTGGCATAAACTGATGTAAAGCTAGGATGCCCAGCAGTACCCTAATTCACTTTTTGCAGTCCTAGGTTCCTTTTAAAGTTACCCAAGACCAAAAACGGGCCCTTTTTATTCCTGGGTTACTGGGCATCCTAGGAAGTAAATCCTTTCTTTTGATACTTCATCTCAAAAAAAGGCTGGAAGCAAAGAAGCACCCACGAAAAAGCCTGAAAACCTACGGACTCTGGCTCCCGAAGCACCATCAACACCCCCTAGCTTAGCCCTGAATAACCTACCTTTTTAGGGTTCCTTAGTATGATCATTTCCTTATATAAGTCCTGAAAAAGGTAGGTTATTCCGAGTTAAGGTAGACACCACCGGCACCGCATGGTCTCCAGAAAACCTACATAGTTCAGGGTGCCTTATGATGATTCCTTTGCACAAGTCATTCAACAGAGATGTTCCTCGTGGTTCAAGTACACCAAAAAAACCCTAAATTCCCGTAGGCGCGAAACCCTAAACCCGCCTTAAACCCTAAGCCCCCTGACCCTGAACCCTGAACCCCCCTTGACCCTAAACCCTGAGCCTCCCAGAACCTAAACCCTAAAGTAGGAACCTGATTGAGAAGCCCTGGCTCCTTATTAGGGTTCCTTATATGAATCCTGCTATTTTGGGGGTTGTAGGGCCAGGGTTTCTTAATCAGGTTCCTACATAAAACCCTAAACCATAAACCCCTAAACTCTAAACCCTAAACCTCTAAACCCCTAAACCCCCAAATCTAAACCGAAGAAGCACAGACTTGAAGAGCGAATCCGAGGTACCTGCCTAGTATCAGCAAAAGCGAAGGCCTGGGAATATCGGGGCACTACAGTACAAGTAGAATAGGGTTCCTTTAGAGCGGTCCTCAAGGGCTATTATAAGGGATCTAGAAGGGTACTGTAGTGTAGGGGCCTGTATGATTAGAATAAGATGTGGGGGCATGTTATACTTATTGTTTGTAAACTCAACTTTTCAAGTATTGTGGTTCTTATTATAAGGTAGTCGATTCTGAAAGTTTCAGCGTTTATTTCCTTGAGTCTTGGGTCAGTGAGTAATAATTGGAATAGTGTTTTGGTGCATATTACCCAGAGCGTCCATATACACTTTAGTGTATTATGGAACTGCTCCCAAAAGACCATCCCTATTCTGATTTGGGGGAGCTTAACTCCATAATGGTAGTATATGGATAGTTGTCAAAATTTGGGTCCCGATTATAATACGGCAGCTATTATTTAGGGTGCCCAAAAAGGGACCATAATTTTGACAACCACCCATATGGACACGCTTGGCTTCGTGTCTACTACAGCAGGACTATATGGGATGGTGCGAGTTTTGAGCTTCTGCTTGGCCTGTTGAAGTTTAGGGTTTAGGTTTGATTTTGTGTAGTTTTTTTGTCGCTTGGTCTTCATATGTGTTTTATTGAGGCTAAGACTTGGGCGTGTTGCAGGATTTTGTTTTGACAAATCTATGTGGTTATGATTAATTCAATGGTTCCTCTTCAATGGGAAACCTACACAAAGTTTAAGATTCTTATGACGATCGGTTCTCGGTTTCTGTTGAGGTGGGCGGGGAGGGGGTGCAACTTGTCAATGGGATCTCCAACAAGCTAGTTTGAATTGCATAATTAGCTTCCGGCAGGCGCGGGATTTTGCTTCGGGGATGTAAGGTTCAGTTTGGGCTCCTTTGCACCCTAAACCCTAAACCATAAATCCTAAACCCCTAAACCCTAAACCCTGAATGTATTGTGCCCTTTTGTGCTCACTCCTGAGACCGGGCACTGGGTAAAGGGAGTCCTTATACAGCCCGATGGCCTCGTCCTCCGCCCCGGGCCCTGGCAAGCCCATCTTAGAGGCTCAGGGGGTTTAGCTAAGTAAGTTAGCAGGTACCGTTTAAACTTTTGGGAATGTCCGAAAATTACCCTCAACTGTTATAAGGACCCCAAAATAAGGCACCCCTACTCTAATTTCCGGAAACTCCCTTTTCAGGCTTAATCCGACTACAGTTTAACAGGCTAGCCTTTTTGGGGGCTAGGATGCCCAGCCCCTCAGTTAGTTAGCAAGTGCGTCATCAGTATCTTAGCTAAGGGGTATAAGTAGGTAACTTAAGCTACCTTCATGATAACCTGACTTACTGAGTCCCCTGAGCCTCTAACTATATCAACCCGCTTGGCAACTCTTGCTATATCTCTTATGGGAACCCTTATCGCATGCCAAACCCTACATGGATGGTCGGAATTATAATTTCGCTACAAAGGATCCTAACTGGGGATAGAGTACTTACAAGTCTAAAAACTAACTACTTCCTCAGTCCCCCGACCTTCCGAGTAAACCCTAAACCCCTAGAACCAAACAGGCGTTTCCCAACAGAAGGGGCCCTAATATAGTAGGATCCTTCTGACAAGGATCCCCCAATTAAGGCACCCCTAATTTTCGGATTTTCGGAAACTCCCCTTTAAACCCACCAACCCCCACCCACCAACCCCCCCTTCCCAGAGACTCCAATATCCCTTAATTAGGGAGTATGCCTTAAATCATATTAGGGAGCCTACTATAACTTAAGGTATATTCTTTAATTCAGGGATATTGGAGTCTTTGGGCTTCAACCCTAAGCCCCACCTTAACCCGGAATAACCTACCTTTTTAAGGGCGTATATGAGGAAGTCATAAGAAAGAACCCTAAAGCGGTAGGTTATTCAGCGCTACTTGGAGGATCGGGGGACTTAGTAAGTAGGGTTATAAGTAAGGTAACTATATTTATAAGTACTTATAACCCTAATTCAGGTACTTATAACCCTACTTACTAAGTTCCAGGATCCTTTAAGTAAGGCAGCCCCAAAGTGCCCGTACCTTCGCGAGGCGCCAACTTCGGTCCTGCTCGTATGGCCTGGCTGGACATCACTTGGAAGACGGCCGGGGGGCCTAGGGTTTGTGGGGTTTATGGTTTAGGGTTTAGGGTTTGGGGGCTTAGAGTTTGGGGGTTTAGGGTTTCGGGTTTAGGGTTTGGGGGTTGAGGGTTTCGGGTTTAGGGCATAGCTTTCTAGAGTATCACAACTGTTGCAGAACATGATCTACATATTATGTTTTGCTTTGTAGGGTCTTGAGTAGGATTCTCCAGGGCTTCAGCTATGGGCCTTTTTGCTTAGGACGGAAGGGTCTGGGGTACATTTTCGGGTTTGGGGCATTGGGTTTGGGGGATCAGGACTGCAGCTGCTTCCCAGAGACTCCAATATCCCTTAATTAAGGAATATACCTTAAATTATAGTAGGAACCCTTATATGATTTAAGGAACATTCCTTAATTAAGGGATGTTGGAGTCTCTGGGTTCTGGCAACTAGAGTTCTACTAGGATTAATCGAATACCGTCATGTCAGAACCCTAAGGGTCCAAAGGACCCAATTTTTAGGTACTTATAGGTTTAGGATAGTAGTTATGTAGGTTACTATTTGGGAGAGTATATGATAATGAGGTACTTGGACCCTTAGATAAGAGACTGGCCCTAGACTCCAGAGCCCGAAGCAGTTTCCCTCAGAAGTTTATGGTGTGACGGAGATTGCGCTGTACTGCTGTCGTGCTGGTGCTCGAGGTTAGACGATGAACCTAGGGGTACTTAGAAATAGTTTTTAATTTTTGGTTATTATAATCCCGAATAGCCAGCTAAAATTAGGATTTTTGCTAGGGTTCGAAGTTCAGTATAGTGAAGAGTACATGCATTAGCAGTTTTTCATTTGTTGTCAGATGGGGTCACTTGAATTCAGGATACCGCTTTCGGCGGGCGTCCTGTGTTCTTGTAATTAAGGGCCTACAGGGATTTCGTTTTGAATGGTACTGCTAGCAACTTCGGAACCCAGAGACGCCAAAATCCCTTGATAAAAGAATATAGCCTAAATCCTTTTAGGGATCCTGCTGCAATTTAAGGCAAATTCCTTAATTAAGGGATATCGGAGTCTCTGGGAAACTGTCTTTAGTACCATAGGACATGTCTGCCTCAAGCCTCAGGCCTTGGATCCTTCTATTAGGCTTACGACCAGGGACGCTAAACGGTGTTCAGGGCCTTCGGATTTCGGTTATACAGGTCCCAGTAGTTTGTAATCATATGCCCTGATTATCCTTAGTAGATTTACAACAGCATTGTATTGCATGACATGTAGTAATGCTTTCCTATACCAGCGCCTGTCGATGCTAAACCGGGACAGGTGCACTGGAACGATCTTCAGCCCTTCCAGTTCAGCTTCACCCCCATCATCATGTGGGACATCACCAAGCCAAACTGCCTGAAGACTCACGGACCCTTTGCAGGTATTCAGGGTAGAAGGAATTTTGAAGGTCGGGGTGCTGGCTTTTCAGATCCAGGACACTGCGCACTCGAGCACTTTTGTTGTTGTTCTTGGTTCTACATCTGCGTTTTAGGGCTATTGGCAGTGAATTCAGGGTTCGATTTTCTTACATGGGCGCATGCTCACAGAAGCACCCGATGTAGAAACCCTACTTTGTACAATGTAGGTGCTTAGGACCCTCTGCGAATTACGGACTTTGCCAGCACGGCACTGCTCATACAAAGATTTCTTCTCGATGTAGGCTTTGAGGGTATATTCCATCAAACTCATTTTAAGCCGTTGTGAAGCCTTCTAGGCATTCTAGGCGAACCTAAACCCTCAACCCCAATCCCCTAAACCTCAAACCGATAGCCCACAAGTTTGGTGCTAAAGGCCTTGGGGTTTAGGGCAACGGGCTCATCGTCGAACTGAAGAGTTACTAGGGTCTTATGAGTTGTCGCAATGGCTACTAGGGTTTTACAGCTTGAGTTCAGCATTTCCAATGGTATCCCGTGTATATAGTCCCGCTAGAAGCACGGCGGCAAGGGACAATCTTGATAATTTTGGAACTGTGCTCCTGCGAGCTCCCTGTTGTACTCATAGTGCACTACAAAACCCCAGAACCTGACCGTGCTTCATATGATCCTGACCGCTGGTCCGCATGACACCAAAACCCCATTCTATTTAGTTGGGGCCCTTACATCATGCCCTGGGCCTCTGCAGGGAGGCGCCAAACTGATGCAAAATCTTCGTCAAAAATACCCAAGACCTTTGGAGCAAAATGCCCCTGAATCCAGTGAGGGATCCAGGTTTGTAGGGTTTTCGGATGTTTAGGCATGTTTAGGGTTTAGGGTGTCGCTGTTGCGCAATTTAGTGGGGATTTCTTATGAGCCCATTGAGCAAACCCTAAGCCTTGAATAACTACTTGCCTATATGTCTGTCTTGGAGTTCCTTGTTGTAAGTATAGCAGAATGTACGCCAAAACTTGTCTATTCATTAAGGCCCTTGTATTAAGCCCTACTAGAGCTTAGGGGCTGAGTAGGTTACCTTTAACCTTTTGGGGTTCATACAACCCCACTATAATCCAAAAGGTTAATCTCTTTGCGCAAGTGTACTCAGCGCCTAAGAGAGGCTCGAAACCCCGCTCATGAGCGCCTACCCAGAGGCCCCATAGTAGTTCCTTTTTGGGATTACCTTACAGGATTCCATATATGAGCCCCCCAAAAGGAACCAATCTATGGGGCCTCTGGGTAAGGCATCGTGCCACTCTACGAGAACACGCGCGTGCCGACGGACGAGGATTCTGGGTTCTCGTTATAAGCTGCTTTTCTTTTGTAAAACCCCAGGGGTCTTAGGTCCTGCTATCGGTGATACTCCCCCCAAATCATAATAGTAATTCCTATCGTAGACATCCTCTTTACATTCTACAATATAGGAAATTTGGGCCCTTTGGGAAAGGTTTGTGTACGCCGTGGTGTTATCTGTAGATGTTTTAAGTTTAAGAAACTTCTTCAAGTGTTCATACTACCGTCTGCTTCGTTGTTGACAGTTGTCCCCAAACCCTAAACCCTTGCCCACCATGGTATCTCAGACGAAGTCTGTTGACAAGATCCCAGGAGTACGAGCAGTTCTTGGCTGGGAACCCTCCGTGGAAGCTTGGCTCAAGACATAGAGTAAACCCCATAAAGTTGGAAACCTGATTAACGCCAAATAGTGCTGGGATTCCCTATACATTACTTAAGGATGGAGGCTCTGGGGTTTCCAACTTTTGGGCTTCTACGGTAGTGAGGCTTCGGGTTTAGGGTTGAAGAGCTCTGCGGGTCTTATCGGCTTTGCTTTCCTAGACCCAAAGGCTCCATGTACCTTTATAGTAGATACTTAAGCCTTAAAAGTGTCCCTATATGGGTACTTTGGGGCCTCAGTATGTACTATATGGGTGCATGGAGCCTTAGGGAGAGGCTGTATGGGGTTCGCGTCAAAGGTTTGTAGGAATTAGGGGTCTGGTCATATGGATTCAAGGTTTGGGCTGTGTATGGCCGGCTGCTGAAAGCGTGCAACTGCAAGCCCTAACCCTGGTCCGTACCTCACACTAAGGCCGCGTTCGTTAGTAGAAGGACTTCGTTTTTGAAAGGAGGAGTGGGCGGGGTCCTTGTGCGCAAATATGTAAGTATGTGGGAATATGTCTGAACTCATGCACACATACATGCATACCTATGTCTCTCTGTTTGTCTATGTGGACAAGCTTTAGCTCCTGTTTTCGGCTGTTACAGGGTCAAGCGCAAGTACACCGTAAACTCTGAAGTGGCTAAGACCCAGAAGCCTCATAGACCAAAACCCTGGGCCCTAAAAGCTCTGATGCCTTCAAACCCTACAGCGCTGGAAACTCCCGTACAAGAGCCCTCAAAGGGAACCCTTATAGTAGTTCCCAGAGAGCCCAATACCCCTTAATTAAGGAATGTAGCTTAAATCATAATATGAACCCCTACATAATTTAAGCCGTATTCCTTAATTATGGGGTATTGGGCTCTCTGGGCTCTCGTGGGAATCCCAATCTCTCAGCCCCACACCTTCGAACCTTAACGTACCCAATGCAAGGAATCCCGGGCGGCGCGTCGGCGCCTGGCTGATCGGGTTCAAGCTTTGGCTCTTCGGTGTGCAAAGCGGAGGCTGTTAGTCATCTGCATATAGATATATGCATATAACCAGTCAATCGAACAAACAAGCAAGCAAATAAAGAGGCAACCATTAAATATTGCACAGTTTTGTGGAGGTATATGTATATGTACATGTACAACCCTAAACTGAACTGCGAATCCTAATCCTAATCCTGAACTAGACGCAAGAATCGAATCACGGGCAAACAGAAGAGTGAGGAACCCGACCCTGCCACAAAACTAAACCCTAAAATATACGGCCCTTAAATCAAAAAAGGCATCGTCCCTAGAGCCTAAGCACTAGAACCCCTTGTAGAAGGCAGCCGATTACGTACCCTCACAGAAAGCCTAAAAGAATCTTCACCTTACAGTCACCTGTATACCCCTAAACCCTAACTCTACTCGCGAAGCCCTAAAAGAATTGTCACCTATTACAAGAGAAGCCAGAAAGTTGGAACATCATTATCCTTATAACCTTAAGGAAAAGTATAGGGAATCCCCGCACAGAGCATCCTAAATCCATGTTCCAACTTTCCCAGGTTCACTATATAGTCACCCTTATACTCCTAAACCCCTAAACCCTCAACCCTAACAGGAATCGTCACCTTATAGTCACCCTTATACTCTTAAAACCCCTAATTAAGCCCTAAACCCTAAAGGAATCGTGACCTTATAGTCGCTCTTAACCCTACCTATAGTCTCCATTGTAGTTCCTTTTTTGGGCTACCTTTTAGGATCCTTAATATAGAATTGGTTAAACCAAAAAACGAACTACAATGGAGAGTATAGGTACTCTCAGATTTAGTAGGTAGGCTCTAAGCCTTCGGGATTTCTTTTATGAAGTTCCTGGCTTGGAATCCTCGCAACGTGTCCATGCTACCCTAAACCCTAAACCCTCTTGTGGAGTGAGGTTTTTGTCCGAGCACCTGGCCTCCATGAACTTGAAAGGCGGCTTCATCTACATGGTGGAGAAGGCACGATATAGGAATTTTGGGTGTCTATAAAGTTTCGATTTAGGAGTTTGAGAGTTTTGTTTAGGGAATTCGGGTCTCTATGAAGGCACGACTTGGGAATTTAGGGTTTCTGTAAAGGTTCGACTTAGGAGTTTGAGGTTGTTTTAGGGGATTTCGGGTTTAGGATTTCAAGTGAAGAAGGCACGACTTAGGAATTTAGGGTTTCTGTAAAGGTTCGACTTGGGAGTTTGAGGGTTTGGTTTAGGGGATTTCGGGTTTAGGATTTCAAGTGGAGAAGGCACGACTTACCAGGTAGCGCCTTGGGACATTACATATTTGCTCTTATTAGGCTTAAGAGGATCCTACCTACAAGTACGTTTCGAAGGCTTTAAACGCACCTCCTAGCTTAGGTTTTGGGATCGACTTAGGTTTTGGGTTCCCTGCCCCCGGGCGGATCTAGAAAGTACCTGGGTATAGTAACCTCTGTGAGGTATGTCCAGGGTGACACTCAGCATACCCAAATATACTCCTCAAGAAAGGAGTGTCCCTCAAACGGTCGAAGGATCGTCAAAGTTATGCCATAATGGCTTACAGAGACTCCAATGTCCCTTAATTAAGGAATATTCCTTAAATTATGGTAGGATCCTCAATACGATTTAAGGTATATTCCTTAATTAAGGGATATTGGAGTCTCTGGCTTAGGCGACTTCGAAAGTATTGGGCTGTTTCGGTTATATGGTTTAGGGTGCCGTGGTTCTACGAAAAGGGAACTCGCCAACTTTCCATTGGGTTTAGGGTTTAGCCCTCGAACCAGCCGTTACGCCGCACTCGGACCCCCTCTGGGTGCCCAGTATCCGATCCCGCAGAGCATCCATGTCCCAACCATGATAACGTCCAGATCAGACCCCATCCATGCCCGCAGAGCATCCATGTCCCAACCATGATAACGTCCAGATCAGACCCCATCCATGCCCGCAGAGCATCCATGTCCCAACCATGATAACGTCCAGATCAGACCCCATCCATGCCCGCAGAGCATCCATGTCCCAACCATGATAACGTCCAGATCAGACCCCATCCATGCCCGCAGAGCATCCATGTCCCAACCATGATAACGTCCAGATCAGACCCCATCCATGCCCGCAGAGCATCCATGTCCCAACCATGATAACGTCCAGATCAGACCCCATCCATGCCCGCAGAGCATCCATGTCCCAACCATGATAACGTCCAGATCAGACCCCATCCATGCCCGCAGAGCATCCATGTCCCAACCATGATAACGTCCAGATCAGACCCCATCCATGCCCGCAGAGCATCCATGTCCCAACCATGATAACGTCCAGATCAGACCCCATCCATGCCCGCAGAGCATCCATGTCCCAACCATGATAACGTCCAGATCAGACCCCATCCATGCCCAGAGCATCCATGTCCCAACCCTGATAACGTCAAATCAGACCCCATCCATGCCCGCAGAGCATCCATGTCCCAACCATGATAACGTCCGGATCAGACCCCATCCATGCCCGCAGAGCATCCAAAAAAGGCACACCAATTCATAGAGCACAAATTCTGCCAAAATCAGGGTCCCACGACCAAATCACCAAAATCCTCCGACATGCACGAAGTCCTACGCTGGCCAAGCAAATCGACTTCAAGGCTCTTTGAAGCCCTGGAAAGGGCTTAAAGCCGAGGTGGCTATTTTTGAAAAAGTAGCCACCTGGACTTCAGGACGTTTCTCTTCTTGCAACACTGCGAAAGTGCCGCGCGTGCCAGTAAAAGCAGCATTTGCGGGGAGCTCCTACGGCCGTGCCTACGGCACAACGCCCAGTTCGAGCGTTTAGGGTGGTTCACTGTAAGCTGCTTATGAAGCCCGTATCGGAGCCTCAAGCCCCCACCAATCCTCAAGGCCTGTTACCCCGCAACCCAAAATCCTGCGTGAAGACAGGCCACGGGAATTTTCGTGGCCTCCTCCGACACCACAGTGCAGTCCCTCGCTGCGGACGAGAATGGACAGCTCACTGTGATGTTGAAGCCGCTTGAGCGACATGTTTTTGGAGGGAGGGTGGGGGGTGGGGGTTGCTGAGGTTCAGAGTTTAGAACTCAGAGTATCCAGGCATTTGGGCTTGGGCTGTGGTTCGGGTGTACCTGGGGTGAAAGATCCTTTAGTGGGCTGTTTGCAGAAGCATGCAGAAATCACATTCAGAGTATACTTACGGGGTCAGGGGACTTAGTCAAGTACGGTTATAAGTAAGATAACTCTAGTTATATCTAGTTATAACCCTAATGCAAGTACTTGTAACCCTACTTACTGAGTCCCATGATCCTCCAGCTAGCCTTTGGGACCTCACTGGGGGTTACGGACTTTAAGCCAACACGTTGGCATAGGATTACCAAGTTTGTTGTGAATAACACGAAAATATTGACAGTACTAGTAGCAATAATATATAGTTATAACAATAATCATAACAAGAGTTTTTTTAGCAGCAAAACTAATTGAGGCCACAGGATGTTCCGCATCCCATGATCAACGGCTCTGCCGCGCTGGTCGCCCCGGACGGCTCCTCGGCCTGACAGCTTTTAGCTTGGTGTTCTTCTGGTTGGGTCTTAGGACCTCAATTTTTTGGGTCTCTAATAAACAGTAGGCTAAAAGTTTAACTTTTAGGAGGGGTTCAGAAGCCAGAGAATATACCTTAAACCATATTATACTAGGGATGCTACTTTTAAGATATAATCCTATAATTAGGGGATATTGGAGTACCCGTAGTGGCCTTTGGAGAACCCGAAGGTTCGACGGTCGACGGAGAAAGAGGACTAGCACTACGGCTTTATGGGCTTAAAGTTTTACAGCTTCGGCCATTGAGCTTATAGGGTTTCGACGGCACGGCGGTTTAGGGTTTAGGTGTGGAGGAGTAATACTCAGAATACTCAGACTTAGTATGTAGGTTTTTAAGTAAGGTAACCATAGTTGTAAAACCCCTAATCCTAACCAAGGTTGGCCGGTAAGCTTTAAAGACCAGTTCTACTGTTCTATATGGGAATGTATGACGGTTTTGCAGGGTCTACTTTGTGCTCCGTACCCCCAACCTGCAGCTGTACGTCGGGTTCTTACACATTAGTCCGAAAGGGTAACCTTATAGTGCCCGCCGGTACGGGCGAAGCCAGTACACTCAGATCGCCCATGAAATGCGCAGAAGCCCCAACACCAAACCTGAGCTTCACTCCTGAAACCCCAAACTTGGAGGATCATGGGACTTAGAAACTAGGGTTATAAGTACCCGAATTGGGGTTATAAGTAGATATAACTATAGTTACTTACTTATAACCCTACTTACCAAGTCGCATGATCCTCGAAGAACAGCTGATAACTCCAAACCGCCCGATCCTACACCACCAGGTGATTGGAACAACATCACCCATCAGCTCGTCGAAGTGGAGGTGATCGAAGCATGGGGTTTACTTGGGATTTGGCGCCGGCGCTATCCTCTTCTGTGTGCTAGAGATTTATGCATCTATGCATGGTTACATCATAGCCAGAGACCCAATGTGCACGGGATTTGGTGATTTGGGATTGGGGTCCTGGGTGTAGGTTTTGGGCTGTATGATTCCGGCCGAGGAATTAAATGGCAGATGTTTCCGGGCTTTAGGCATCAGGATATCTAGAAGGTGCAATACGGTTGTGCTGAAACATTTGCGCCTATGGACCATACATCCAAAACCCTGCGCAATTCTGGCGTCGTTGATGGGGTGGGTTTGGAGACGAGGCAGTCCCATCACGCGCAGAATGAAGGTTGACTCTGTGGCCCAAACCCATCAATTAAGACGTATGCCTTACATCATGACAGAACTCCCCGCACGTTAAAGTCTTTTACGTACTCTGAGAGTTCTGAAGTGTGGGTAGAGTTGCCAGAGGCCCTTCATAGAGTTGGAGGTTCCTAAACTCAACCTAAAGAGTTGCCTCGTTTGATGGTGTTGAGGGACTTACAGCAGCAGGGTTTTACAGGGCTCGATAAAGCGATGCTTCAAGAAAGTCGTCCCTCCGGATTCGTAAAGTACATGTCTACAGCTTCACTTCGAGGAAGTCTGCTCTCCTAAACCCAGAGCCTCCAAAACCCCTTAATTAAGGAATATACCTTAAATTATAATAGGGTCCCTTATATGATTTAAGGTATATTCCCTAATTAAGGGGTTTTGGAGGCTCTGGGAACCCTTGTCCCTGGACCCTAACTTTTTGGGGAGCCTTTTCTCAGGTGAACGGTCGCTACGAGTTTATGCTGACCTTCCAGTTCTCTTACTACAACCTCGTGCTGGAGGGAGCTCCTTTGGCTTCTTGAAGATTTGGTGGTTAGATGTTTAGGGCTTGCAATGGCTACTCTGTAGGATCCTGCAAGAGAACCTACAAGGGTACGGTGCATCAAGGATCACAGGACTTAGTAAGAACTTAGGGGTTTTGAGTATGTGTAACTCAGCCTTTTAGTACGTCTAAGGTACTAGTCAGGATACATATAGCCCTCTTTACTAAGTCCCCGCGACCCACTTATAGCGATACTTAGGATGCAAAGACCCTACTTACCAAGTCCCCTGAACCATCCTGAACCTCTATAGGTTGGGTTGAGGGGACTGGTATGAAGTTCCAAGGGCAAAAGGAGGGACCCTTAATAAGGACCGCTAGGTATATACCCTTAATATAGCCATTATATACCAATTAATAGCCCATTATAGGGTAGGGGTCCCCATTCAGGGTCCCTCCTTTTCCCCTTTGAGAGGTGGGAGTTTCCTGGACCGTGAAACCTCCACTGCCCAGCTCTAGTCTTCCCTGTAGCTCCTTGTCGGGCTAACTAGTTTTGTGGCTAGGATCCTGTTAAAAGGCAGTGTAGCCGAAAAGGAACTACAGCATTTAATGCTTCAGCAAGCTAGTGAAGGTGAGAGTGTGTAGTAGCTCTATGCCTAAACAGAGGACCCATAGTAGTTCCTTTTTAGGATTACCCTATAGGATTCTGATTCTATATCTGAACCCCAAAAGGAGCTACTTTGGGGCCTTTGGGTAGACTCCCAACTGCCATCTATTTGTTGTACCCTATTTTTGTTTAGGGTTCCGGGGCTTAGGGTTTAGGGGTTTTAGGGTTTTAGGGTTTTGGGCTTTTAGTGTTTCAAGGTTTTGGGGTTTTAGGGTTTCGGGATGTAAGCAGATGTCTTCCGCCAAGACTAAGCAACCTAGCCGTAAGCCCTGCGTACAACCTGCGTGGAATCCCCGCAGCACTGTTGCACACAGGCTTTAACATTTATTATAACTCTAGGCGAGCAAGTTGAGGCACTTAACTGGGTTCCTGAGTAGTAACCATTTGGCCTCTTTGTTTGGTTCGCCTTATTACAGCCAAAGAGTAGGAAAAAGGGTACCCTTATTAAAATTGGGCTAGTCAGAGAGCCCGGCTTGAGAGGCCTTGTAGCAGCAAACCCAGCCCTTCCCTCCGATGTTTATTGCAGAAAACGCCTTCGGGGCGCTTTTTACACAGTTTCTCTGGGGTCCTTCAATGTAGCATGAATGGATGTATGGGTCTGAAGGGTGCGCATGTTGTTTCTCTGCGGGGTGTTGGCTAAGCATGTCTCTGGTGAAGGTACGACGGCGCTTTTGGTCAGGTTTCTGGTCCAGGGTGCGAGGTCTTCTAGAGCCATGCGGTGGTTGGAACATTTGTCCTAGACCAGCTTGCGCCAAGTGCGGCGAAACCTGAATATCAAACCTTGAAACAAACAGGTCTACATGGTGCCACGAAGCGTGGTACTGGCAGACTTAGACGAGAGCCTTGGTCGAGATTGAGGGGATTTGGGGCGGTTAAGGCTTGAATCCTAAACCCTGAACTAAACCCTGAACCCATCAATAAAGGACTTTTCTAGCTTGTTGTGAGTCAGTCCCAACGCCTGGCTAGAGGGTCAGACCCTACTCTTTGCTAGGGCTACCTAAGTTTCATACTACAGATCCTAACCAAATAACCAAGTACATACCTGACAAAGGTGCAAGGCAATACCCTGTAGTCTAGGTAAATACAAGGGGTTTGGGGTCCCGACTTGAACTGATAACTCTCCAGGGTTTTGTCGTTTAGGGCCCAGGCTTTGGGGTTGGGACTTCGACCCTTGAACCCCAAGCTTGCATCTTATGTCTCTTGGGGCTCCCATGGTAGACCTGAACAATGAGAGTGCTCTTCATTTTTGTTGGTGCTTCCCTTACTCCAGGAAGCCATGTATTGATTCCTTTGAGGGGTATTGGAAAAGATGTTGCGGGTGGTTGAAGAGTGGGTTTGGGATTCTAGGTGGCTTTATTGCCTTATTGCCAAAGCGACGGAATGTTCCGGTGGTTCAAACAGGCCTGGATTGACTTCAGCGTGTCCTAATTCAGGAAAAAGGTTGTAGATTATGCTGCGGATTCTTCGATTGCGTCAGGAGCAGTGCTAAAACTCGATTCACACTGCTGTTCTGCATTGCGAACGGCGACGAATGCACAGGCCAGATTTTCAATTCCGTCGTTCTCGACACTACCACCCCGAGGCTAAACTGGCATACCCTACCCTAGCAGTAGAGTAGATAGCCTTGAACCTTTTTTGGGTAGTATAGTCCCTATATAATCCCTAGATAACCAAAGAGGTTAACATTGAGTTCCCCATGATACCCGACGAGTACCCTACCTGCAGCCTCAAAAACCTACGTTGCAGGGGTTCCTTACGATGGTTTCCTTGTGTGGGTAGGTCTTTAGTTAAAGCCACGAACGTCCCGCTCTGACGACTACTGGGCCGCCTCGGTAGCACAGATCCATTGACCGGATCTCCCTTTAGGGTTTCATCGTAAAGTGTAACTTGCCAAACATAACACAGGAGGCATAGAAGCCACGCATACCTGTGATGCCCCAAACCCCGAACCCCCAAAGCCCTCATTCACAATTCGCCAACTAAAACCCTCTACACCCCCCAAAACCCCCCAACCTCTCAAAGAAAGACCTCAGCCCCGAATGTGGCAACTGCGCCTAGGATGGCAACCAGAGATGCCGTCACGAGCCTCTTGGTCTGGTGGAGCTTCAGAGCTCCTTTGGAGGGTCGGGGGACTTAGTAAGTAGGGTTTAGGATTTAGGGTTTACGGTTTAGGGGTTTAGGGTTTAAGGTTTGAGGTTTAGGGCCCCTTAGGGTTTAGGGTTTAAGTGGTGGTAAGGAGAGTTGTAAGTTATAAGCTTACTAAGTTACTAAGTCTCCCGACCCTCGAAGCGGAGCCCTTGAGGGATCCGATCCCTAAGCCAGCAGCTGCATCTAATCATGAGCCTGTCTTTGGTATACTTATGTGGGAGTTTCCGGAAATAGGGGATCCTAACACGGTGCCCTAAATAGTAGGATCCTGGACCCTAATTTTCGGAAACTCCCATGTCACATCTCCCTTGGAAACCTTTGAGCAGGGGCCCCAACAAAGCAAGGCTGTAGACTGGGCCTGGTTGAAACTGCTCTGGAGTTTGCATCAACGGTTGAAACCATGGGCCCCTAGTTCGGGCCCTTAAGTCTGGAACCCTTATATACCTACTAGGACCCAGAGTAGGCCCTTATTCCCTCTTTTAGGGTTCGGGTTCCCTTATAAGCCCCTTTAAACCAAAAAGGGCATCCTTTTTATGCCTGGGTTACTTTTAGGTTTAGCCTACTATATACCCTATACAGACTCTTAAGGGTTTAAGGGTCCCTACAAGGTCCATATTAGGGGCCCATACTGCTAACCTTAGATTGCAGGTTCCTGCTTGGGTCCGTCGTGCTCGTTGTCCACTAAAGGTCGTAGAAGGGATCTGGCAAAGCTTTTGTCTACGATACTGCGCAAGCTATGGTTTGGACTTTGCAGCCTTGCGCATATGAAGCCTCAGAGCAACCCGAAACCTTAAACCCCCTAAGCCCTAATCCTCAAACCCCAGTACAAAGGGCGTGCACATCCAAGGCATCATTCTGAACATCTTCTTTTCTGGCATCCTCATGGGCGGTGTCATCTTCGCAGCTATGCTTCGACCCAGTAACTAGAAACCTCCAGGAAGACATACACTTTGCGCTTTAAGATTAGGGGTTTCGGATTTAAACCTTCCAGACCGTATGACGACCGCATTCATTGTCATTGTCTTGAGGAGTTTTCGGCAGTGCAAGGTTTCACCCCGCGTGAATCGATTAAGGGTTTAGGGGTCATTGACGAGACTAATGCCGTTGCATTCGTTCACTCAGGAGGTTCAGAATTCACGCAGACACTCAGAGAAGCCGCGTAGGCAGCCTTTGACCGAATCGTTTCGTTGATGGTTTAGGGTTTAGGGTTTTGTTTCTTGGAGGCTCTTGTTCCTCCAAAATCCTTCAGGTTACCTTCAACTTGCCTCACCCAAGCCATGCCCCACCTTGAACCGCGATCAACCCTAAACCCCAATTCAAATGTCCAATGTGTTAAGGCTTCAGTCGGCCCCGAAGAATACCTAAAACCCAGCTTCAGGGTATAGGGGAGTTTCTGAAAATAGGGGACACCAATATGGTACCCTAAATAGTAGGATCTTTTTTATAAGGACCCCAAGTAAGGTTACCCCTAATTTTCGGAAACTCCCACAGTGGGATCCTGTCTGTGACTTCAGCCATCTTCCTTCATTACTTTGCCACTCTGTCACAGTTGGATCACCCTTTGAACCCAGGAAGTAATAGAAATTTACTTTATTTTCGGCTATCCCTCCATGGACTAGATTAAGGGGCTTTGGAGCCCTTGTCCAGGTGAAAACCGCAATATGCTCTACTCATCGTATTCTAGGATGCCCAGTAGTACCCTTATTCGCTTTTTGTTGTCCTAGGTTCCTTATAAAGGTACCCAATACCAAAAACGGAGCCCTTTTTGTTCCTAGGCTTACTGGGCATCCTAGTATAAGGCTTGCAAGTCATTAAAGAAAGCATGCTTGAACTGTGGGGGCGACTGTTGGTCGTGTTGGGCTCCTGCTTTAGAGGCAAAAGGGTACCCTCACTGCTGATGGACAAAATCCTGCATTACCCACTATAAGGAATATACCATAGTTGCCATAGTTTAGAGTCCTCGGGGTCATGCCGGATTTTGTCCATCAACACTATCATACAGCAGCGACTGGCAACCCTAGAGCATAGTGTGCAAACGGTCTCAGGTGGTGGCTGCAGCTCAGGGTTCACTCCATTGTAGGTCACTTTGGGTTACCTTCGTTTCGACTACCATGTGGGGGTTTGCGAAAACAGGGGACCCTTAGTAATATAGTATAGTACCATAAGGTACCCCTAATCTCGGAAACTCCCAGCTGCCCCCACCCTGCAATAGTGACTATAAGGATTATATTAGAGCCCTATTATATTCCCATTATACCACTATTACAGGGTGGGGGCCGCTTCTAACATATAGGACCCTCAGTTTTTGGTTGTCCCAAGAAGGAACTGCAGGGAGGACCCTCCACCGCCCCAACACCCCGAAACCCAAGACAGAAGGATCCCTGCCCAAAGGGTCCAAAATACCTACCTTAACCTACCAAACCCTGTAGGTTCTTATTATAAACCCTAATATGGGATTTATAGGGACCCTACAAAAAAGTAGGTTTTGGTAGGTTAAAGTATACAGTAGAATGCAGGGTTTCTATTATTGGGAATTACAGTTATGATTTGGAGAAGTATCCCCCATAACAGTACCCAAGACACTTTGGGCTGCACAATGTACCCTGAGCACATTTTATATTTGCTTTGATTGGGCTTAAGAGGATCTTGCCTGCTATATAATATTGGTCAAAGGCGTTGAAAGCACCCTACCCTTTTTTAGGTTATCTTTTTTCGATACAACAGATCCTAACCATAGAACTAGGTATCCTAAACGAAGGGGTAGCTAGCGTATGAGCCTCTAGGTAGAAGTCCAAAGCCCCACTCAGGTGGGCTACCAAACCTTTAAGCGATTGCGGGAGATCGCACAGGATATCGGCAGGTTCAGTAGGTGTTCCTCAGGGTTCTGGGTGTCTGGGGTGTAGGGTTTGTGTGTTTTTAGAGTTTAGGGCATGTAGGGCTTAGGGATTAGAAGAGCCTCCGTGTGCTAGCAATGATGTCAAAGAGTGGTTTGTTATTGATATACGGGGCTTATGTTCTAGCGGTGTGGGGCTGGAGAGTTTAGCGAAGGGTCTGTGTGTTCATGTAGGGTGCGATTGCATTCCCTTCTGTTTATATCAGAGTGAGAGGGTCCACTTACTTGGCGTTCTTCTGGTTGGCCCTTAGGAATTTAACTTTTTGGGTTTCTATATTATCTATATTATGGAGGCAAAAAAGTTTAATTTTTAGGAAGGGTTCAGAAGTCAGCCAAGCTTAGGGTGTTGCGGATTCAAAGCTTGAAGGTTGGTTTGGCATTTCCGGTTTTGGAGCTTTAGCAATGTCTTGCATGTGGCAGTGCCTACCTACCAATCCATCAATACCAGGCTGTTCAGTGGTACACTTGTTACTTTCAGATTTCTGGGTTCCTATTATAAAATAAGAAGCCGAAAAAAGTAGATACTTGTTCCCAGTGGGTTACTGAACAGCCTAGAATACTAATCCGATCCAACCGGCCCAAACCAATCTATCCTAGCATAACTTGATCCGGCGAAGCTACCGAACCGTTCATGTCTTATCTATCTAGGGACCCTACAAGCCTACAGCTATGCTCTCGCGGGACCTCGTTTTTTCCTAACCAGGGGTCCACACGAAAATAGAAGCACATATTTTTCCAGAATTCTTCTCCCGGATTCTGAGTATAGTGATAGAGAGTATGCCTCAAAACTCAATTCAAAGCAGTTAAGGCCTAAACCCTAAACCGAACAGTTAAGGCCCCCATCATGTATACCAGTTTGCCTTGAAACCCTAAACCCTAAACCCTTAAAGCTCAGTTCAAGAAATTGAGGCCCCGCCCCCATCATCTATACCAGATTTGCCTTGGGCTGCTTCTGTGGCAGGAGCAAAGGCGACTTTTGCACGTCAAGGTGCCGGCCACTGACAGGTACTAGGACTTGGGTACGGTCCCCACTCAGTAACAGCTGGATAATATTCATAATCATAATACAGATATATAAGGCCCTTAATAGTAGCCCCATTATAGACTGTTACTGTATGGGGGCCGTACCCAAACCAGCACATCTGTTAATTAGAGAATTATGGTTTATGGATTTAGGGGTTCAAGGTTTAAGGTTTACTTGCTATTCAGCGTCCTGTTCGAGAAGTTCCTGATACAGAGGATCCTGCTGCTTTGATTTTCAGGGTGCCTTGTTTAGGGTCGGATTGAAGAGGGGCCTTGCTGCTAGGGTCTCTTGGTATTCACATGTTAATGCAACCCCGACCCCAACAAGCACTTATGAGCTTATGAGACTGCTCGAACAAACGATAACGAATGAGACACCCTGCAAAACTTATCTTCCAAGAGTCCTACGCACACATCGAACCTTAGGAAAGCACCTACAGCATGAAGCTTGCTAAAAGGAATCCTGCACCGTGTTTAGACCTTAATTAGAAATCATGGGAAACCCTACATTATTTCGTGAAATCCTTATCTTCCTGACCCCCGAAACTCAAGCGCCAAAACCCTGAGGTAAATTATAGGGGATCCTACCATTAATCCATATTCCAACTTTCTGAAGTTCCCTTTAAAACCTCAAACCCCGAAACCCTAGATCTGAACCGGGTCGCAGGTGCAGGACAGCCTCGCGTGTGCCAGCGAGCTGCAGTATCCCATCGTCTTGGTCAGCGCAAAGGAACTGCTCAGTTCTCGGGACTTTAGAACGACCCAGAGAGGCCCTCATCCACTTAATTGAGGAATACCTAGGGTTCCTGTAAGGGATCTATAACGTTTAGGGTTTTACAACCAAGGGTTCATTTGGTAGTTTCCGAAAATTAGGTCCTTATAATAAGGATCCTACTATTTAAGGTGCCATATTGGGGTCCCCTATTTTCGGAAACCCCCATTTAAGAGACAGGAATGGACCTTACCCTGGGGCTCCAAATAGCCGAAAGGGGGTAGCATTTACAGACTTTAGACCCCAAAGTGGGTAATATTTGCATGCTTTGAGCCCCAGGGTTATGTCATGTACTATGGGTAAGGGTTTAGGAGTTTAGAGGTTAACTCAGTTCTGTAAGCTCTCTGCTTCTAAGGGTTCCATAAGGGGTTCTGTAAGGGTTCCATTAGGGGACTTGTGAAGCTTTTAGAGGTAATTCTCAGGGCTTTACGACTTTACTATATTTGAGTTCCGGGCTTGTGGGTTGACTCTACAGTTTTGAGTACTTTACAACTTCAATATGTTCGGGTTTAGGGTTCAACTCCCAAGCTTCCAGGGAACGCCACCAGTGCCTTGAAGGAGGAGGGCTGGATGGGGGTTGTTGGCTGGATGGAGGGCATGGCGGGCTGGATGGAGGGCGGCTGGCTGGATGGAGGGCTGGTGGCTGAAGCCTTGAATGGAGGGCTTGTGGATTGAGGGGGCTGGATGGAGGGCGGCTGGCTGGATGGAGGGGTGGTGGCTGGAGGCTTGAAGGAGGAGTGTGGAGGGGCTGGGAGGGGCTGACTGGATGGAGGGGCTGGGTGGAGGGCGGTGGGATGGAGGAGGGTTGAGTGGCGCTGCCGGCCCTGAAGGCTGACGGCTACTGTAAGGGCCTTAATTAGAATAGAATCTCGGGGTATATGATGCTATTTATAAAAAGAAGGAACCTCCGAAAACCGTGTTCTAGTCATTTTTATTGACCCTGCAGTAGTGTCCCCAAGACGAGGTCCTCTCTTGGTTCGGGGACGGAGTGCACAGTTGAAGGAGTCTGCTGCCGGGCCCAGGACTAGGTCCGTTTCAGATCAGAGTAGACCTGGTCAGTGGGACTGAGCCTAGTAGAATTATCAATATTATTCCTTGTTGTACTGTTAAAGGGCCCAAAACCCCATTCGAAGTATTAAGGCCCCGACCTAAAATCTTATGGCAACCTTTAATTACTTGAGGCCCCTACAGTACCCTAAACCTAACGTAAACTACTTTAACCCTCGACCCTAAACTACAGTAAACCCCCAAAAGGCCTAAATTAGCCCTTAAACCCTGGACCCTAACTCAAACCCTAAACCCTCTAAGCCGCAACTCTAAACCCTAATTAAAACCTAAACTAAAACCCTGAACCCTAAAACCCTAAACCCTAAACCTTAGACCCTAAATTAGTCTTTCCGGACGCGGGAGGATTTCCTGTCGCTGACCGATTCGGAAGTCCGGAGCTGTCACGAGGGCGTCCGACTGAAAGGACATAGTTGTTTTTTTGTGTTTTTTTTTGGGGGGATATGGTTTAGAGCATAGGGTTCTTTAGGGTCTGGGGTTCGGGTTTGGGGCTTTAGGGTTTGAGGGCTTGGGGTTTAGAGTTGAGGAGTTTGGGGTTTTAGTTTAAGCCTTTAGGGTTCTATGTGGTGCTACGAGTTCTTTCGCTTTTTTCAAGGGCTTCTTAGGGGTTTGAGAAGCGCTTGTAGAGCAAGGTTGCTTGCGAGGAAGCGAGAAAGTCCGATTCGGGTTCGGGCTTGGATTTTGTGGTTCAGGGCTGAGGTATGTGGTAATGTAGGTAAAGGACTTACCATTGGGCGCATGAGCAGCGCTAGCAGGCGTGATCCAAACCTTATTGGTGAGACGGCTCATGTGTACATGGTCGCTTCAGACTTCAAAACCAAATTCCTGAGCCCTGAACCCTAGAGCAAACTCTGAGCCCTAAGCCCTAACCCCTGCCGGCCCAGACCTGACAAGGATCTCAAAACACGTCACTTGAGAACTAGAAATGTTCATCTGAGCATTGGAAGAATACATTCTAGGGTTTAGGGTTCATTGTGGTGGGCCCTTGTTTTTTTTTTTCAATCCATGGAGGGGTCCGGTGAACTGCTTCCTGTAATTTCAAAAGCTTTGTGATACGTCCATGAACGGGTCCATGAAAGTGTTTCCTGTAATGTTGCACTCAGTGTGCTCATGGGTTTACTGTAGATGGGGGAGGGGGGCCTATTTGTAGAGCGATCAGTCCCCTAAACCCCAAACCCACAACCTTCAGCGATAAACCCACAACCCTATAAACCCAAAACCTTATAAACCCTCAACCCTAAACCCTAAACCCAGACCCCAAAAACCCTATAAACCCGCAACCCTCAACCCTAAACTTGGCCCTAAACCCTAAACCCAGGCCCTAGGACACCCAAGCCCCCCCTGCAAGGAGAGACACCCGAGCTGAACGAAACACTACTTAAAGGATCAGGGGACTTAGTAAGTAGGGTTATAAATAAGGCAACTATAGTTATATCTACTTATGGCCTTAATTAAGGTACTTATAACCCTACTTACTAAGTCCCATGGTCCATCAAGTAGAGACTCCAGACATACCCCAAACCCAACGCCTGGGTTTGGAGTACCATACTTGAGTACTTTTATCTCCCTCGGTTACTTCAAAGTCCAGAAAATTCATGAATCCTAAGCCAGACATCTTATGATGTTTATTCTTGTGTTTTGTTTTGTTGTTGGGGGGGGGGTGTGTCGGAGTTCATGAATCCTAAACCAGACATGTCTAGATGTTTGAGTTTTGGGGGGGGCCGGAATGGTGACCACGTTTTTTCCGTGTGCGGTCGTGCACGGGTGTTACATTATGATGGTGTCGCTCAGGGTTCGTTATTATACTGCTTCGACGATGCTACACCCCAAAACCGTTCTAATTACGACGCACCCCTGTTTTCAAGCCTCAACCCTGCCCCTTCGAGCAGTCCCTTATAGACCGCGAAACCCTTGTTCTAAACCCCAAGCCCTAACCCTGGTACTCAGAGAACCCAATACCCCTAAATTAAGGAATAGGCGTGAAATCATAGTATTGAGCCCCCTACAGTTTAAGGTATATTCCTTAATTAAGGGGTATTGAGATCTCTGGGTATGTCCCTTAGACCCCTTCGAACGGCTCTCGCTAATGGAACCCTACTTAGAGGATCATGGAACTAAGGTACGTATACCCCTACTTACTAAGTCCCATGATGCTGTTTAAGTATGCCGCTGTAGCCAACCCCCGAAGCTTGGGAGGAATGCTCAAATTCCTGGACACCGAGGAGTCCCTCGGCGCTTAGAGGGTCACTACCCAGACCCCCGGGAGGATCTAGAAAGTAGATCCGAAATTTTTGGGGCCCTATACTACTAAGGTTACTTTATAGGAACCTGCATTGAGGGTTCTACTTTTTGGATCCTTGCGGGGGTCAGGGTAGGAGCCCAAAAGGTGGAAACCCAATAGCCTCAATCCTTAAGAGTAACATGGAGGGAATCCCAGCACTATTTGGCCTTAATCCGGTTTCCAACTTGATGGGTTTATTGTAGTGTAAGTAAGGGTTCTGCAGTGGATCCTTTCAGGGTTTCTGTAAGGGTAAAGATGTTTTAGGATTTAGGGGACGTAAATGTAGTAGGTAGGGCGATAGCTTGAGATAGGGGCATAGGTAGACATATAACTATAGTTAGCTTGCTAGCCCTGTGTATAATGCTTTCCTGTGACTGGGAGGGTCAGGGTTGGCATAAGTACATTTTAGCATACCCCATGACGCTGTCCTAATTATTAAGGCCCCTACAGTAGGGTGTAGGATTTAGGGTTTAGGGGTTTAGCATGGAGCGTTTAGGATATATTCCTCGGTATAGGTTTCGTCCCGGCATGTCGGGGAAAGACGCGAATGGCAAGGTCAGGCACATCTGCTGTTGAGGCTCAGTAAGAATTTCACTTTTTGCAGTGTCTAGTTCATATACAACGATGTATGCAAAACATGGTTCAGGCCCCTTTTGAGTTGATTGTTTAGGGATTCAGGGGTTCTTTTAGGAGCATTGGGGCCCAAAGGTTAGCCGTTCCGCGCATGCCGCAAGATTGATACGAGTTTAAGGTTGGACTCGTGATTAGGGTTTGCAGGCATACTTTGAAGCCCTAGAACGTCTGAACGGCTCCTTCTGCAAGTGAAGGAGCATTCATCAAGTAGCGGATTGGGTAAGCTGGACAGGCTTTCGGACATTGCAGGAACACGCAGTCCAAAGCTGCCGAACACTTCCTAAACACCCTGTCCGACTCAGAAGCAATCTCGAACTATACACGATGCATCCACAATGAGGCTTTTGGCTAAGTTCAAAAAGTCGGGTGGCCAGATCGTCTTCTTCTCATACGCGCCCGGGCTGAATTTTTACCAGCGCCAGCCTTGTCTGTTTAGAGTTTCGGTTTTTCATGCTCAGGCGCCTACTTTCTCTAGCTACGATGGCGTGCTGCGGTGAATGATTGGAAGTTTGGGCAAACAGAGACTTCTTGTAGCGTTTCCTGCAATCCTATAGTCTCCTGGTTAACACTGTCTCAGAGCTGCCACCTGAATGCCGCAGCCGTAGCAAGCTGACCTTGCTCCGAGTTGATAACATGGAGTCTACCAGGAATCTCACAATGACAATGCCGAAAAAGACCCCAGCTCGGCAAGGGTGGGGCAGCATCGAAATTCACCCCCTGGTGCTTAGGAGGGAATGGGGGAATGGATCCCTTTTGTAGTCCCTATATCATCCCCAATGATAGTCCCCATAGTCCACACCCCCATTCCCTACTAAGCACCAGGGAGTTTAAGGGAACCAGCCGAGGAGTGGCAATCGTGGACCAAGCTGGGCCCCAACGATGTCCAGCTCGAGTGGATGCGCATGAGCCTGTCGATGTATTCACAGGACTGGCTACAAGTTCTGCGGGCATAGGGTTTTCCTATAGTCCCCACTGGGGTTCTTTTGTGGTTAGCCAGTTCTCCGGCTAGGGTTCTGCACTAAGCGCAATGTCACACAAAAAGGAGCTACACCGGAAGGTACACGTATGTAGTGCGTTCTACCACGCATGTCGGTCCTTCATGCCTGCCGCAAAAGCAGCACGTCAGTTTCTCAGCACACTCAACCCTGAGCCTTTGGCCTCACCGTACGTCTCAAAGCCTAAGGCCGTCCCAATTCCAACCAGAAACACTAAGGAGCCTGACCTCTAAACCCTAATTAGAGGATCAGGGGCCTTAGTAAGTAGACGCAATGGTGGAGTTATCAGATACTTACCTGCAGTATAACCACCCGAACTAGGGCTACCCAATCAGTGACTCTAGTTAGAACGGACAGATTAAGTCCCCCCGTCCCCCAATATTTGGGTAGACACGTCCCGAAGTAAGAACCCCAATGATGCCCTATCCGGAACCCTACAGCATGTAGCTTGAACTTCCGAACCTTGAATCTTGGAATGCTATTGGTTCAGGACTTGCGGGGACTAGTAGGGTGTACCCAGAGAGCCCAAAACCCCTCAATTTAGGAATATAGCTTAAACCATAATATGAAGCCCTGTACAATCTTAAGGCATATTCCTTAATTAAGGGGTACTGGGCTCTCTGGGTATGCTTGCATCCTGATTCTCGGAGGGCTAGTCCTGAATTCGGTGTCTTTCAACTAACCACACCAAGTGACCAAGTTGTACCGAACAGGAACAGCATTACAATATTGCCACATCTCGTGGCTTTGAGACCTATCCTCTAAGCCCTAAACCCCACACTAAGCCCTGCCTAACACCGGAGAGGTCGAGACGGTACTGTTTGGAATCTGGAACAGGAGCACAACGTGCCCCTGGAGAACTTGAACGTTTGGTTGGACATCCTTGCTATCCCTCAGTGCCTGAGCATCTGATCTCTTTGAGGGGGTCAACTCGTGGTGTCCACGGTGGTTCCAATTTTTGGTGAACCTGCTGTATGTTTAGGATCCTATAGTAGAAAACAAGAGAAGCATCAAAAAGGAGCTACCACGAAAAGGTACGGGCCCTGGGGTGTTTGGGTTTTCTGTAGCTTCGTGTGGCCCTGACAACCTCACCTAATTTGGGTTCGAGGTTAAGGGTCAAACTTCAAGGGTTAATTCTACAATAAGTTTTACACATACGAGTAACTATAGGCTACCCAGCAGTGTGATGTGTTCCTTGTTTGGTTCTGCGTTTCAGATTCAATCCGGTTCAACCAACAGTGGGAAGACAAGCAATCCTTCATCTTGCTCGCCTCAGGCGCTACTTGGGAACTCGATGATTCAGGTTGAGGTGTCACAACGCCCAACCAGTCATATCCCCTGGCGGCGTAGGGTCCGGGGATACATGTGCAGGTTGAAGTGCAGGTGCTTGCTGGAAGGACTTAGTAAGTACGTTATGCATGCATTGGGGTCTTAATAAGTAGGGTGCCCGTGACAAGGTTGTTTATAAGCTCAACTTCGTCCAGCAAAAATAACGTCCAGATCCTTGCAGTGGGGCTGATGCGGTTTGGGGTTCAGAGCTTGAGGGCCTTGGGCTTCAGGCATCAAGAGCGTTGGGTCTCTTGGAGGCTCGGGGGACTTGGTAAATGGGTATTGCAATAGTTAAAGTTCTGAGCACCCTAATCTAAAAGGGATCCGAATTGATACTTAAGCCTTTATATACAACAACATCAGTTTACTAAGTCCCCCGACCCTCCATTTTCTAGAAAGACCAGCCAACTGAGCACGCAGATTACAAGTAGATATGAATGCGTCCCTGCTTGTAAAGCTACTTGAGCAAGGAGAAAGTAAGTCGGTCGTGAGGCTAAGGGTTCAGGGTTTAGCGTTTAGAGGGGCGCGATTACGGATCGAATAGGGTTTAGGGTAGCCGAGGGTTCAGGGTTTGGGGTTAACGACTTGAGCTGTACGGTTTGGGGCTGAACGGTTTGGGGTAAATGGCGGGGACCCCGAGGGCCCCGAAGCGAGACATACGCTCACGGAAGGATCTTGAGTATAGGGCCTTATTCCCTTTTTTAGGGTTCAGGTTCCCTTATAAACCCCTTTAAACCAAAAAGGGCATCCTTTTTATGCCTGGGTTACTCTTGGGTCTAGTGTTTTCTTTCTACAACAAGGTTTTGAAAAGTCAAGCCCAGGTGCCACGTTGGCATGAAGACCTTGGCCGTGAACTCCCTGTACGTCTATGCAGCCTCCACCAGTGCTTTCATCATTGTCGCCCCAGACTCTCGGACCGTTAATGTACAGATATGCTGAATGATTAGAACATGTCCCACATACTCCCGACTCTTGGCTGTTCTGTGAGTATACCTCCTACCTCCAAGTTCCATTTCAATACTCAGGCCCCCCATTCCCGAAAGTAGGTTTCAAGAAGCACAAGAAGGCTTAGGGAATCCTTCGACGCTTGTGACCGCAGGAAACTAGAACCCTCAGCCCTAAACCCCAAACCCTAAAACCTTAAACCCTTTAACCCGAAACCCTAAACCCTAAGCCCTTAAACCCTTTAACCCGAAACCCCAAGCCCTAAGCCCTTAAAACATTAAACCACTTAACCTGAAACCCTAAAACCCGAGGGTCTCCTCTCAGAACAGAGTGCTGCTACATCGAACCTTGCTTGAAGGCGCTAAGAGACCTGATTGGTGGGTAGTATTGGGGCCTAATTATAATTATTACCAATACTATAGCTGGGGCTCCGTAGTATAGTTACAGTATATTACACCCAAACTCCGTTCAAATTAATTTTTAAAAGCCCCGACATTCGGCGTTTCCTGAGCCCAGAGACTCCAATATCCCTTAATTAACGAAAATTCTTTAAATCCTATTCGGGACCCTACTATAATTTCGGGTATATTCCTTAGTTAATGGATTGTGGAAGGTCTGGGAGCCTGCACGAGCTCCACACCCGCAATACGTATTCCCTACGCCCTGAACCCTGGCTGTTCGGGGTTAGGGTCGGAAGTCTCTGATCGGGCCTCACCTTTTTCATGCCGGTACACCAAAACTACAGGATTGGACATGATTGCCATGCCCGTACCCAGAGAGCCCAGTACCCCTTAATTAAGGGATATGGCTTAAATTATATGGGGCTTCATATTCTGATTTAGGCTATATTCCTTAATACCCTTATACAACCCTTATAGATCCCTTTAAGGCACCCTAGTATTCACGGTCCCCTATTGTCGGAAACTCCCTTATGATCACCAAAATGCAAAAGCTTCAAGCCACTATCCTTAGCACAGATACCTGGCACTACGTACGTTGAAACCGCCAGGGCAGCTTCATGGAACCTTGACTAAAGGCCTCCTGCATCTCAGGAATGCATGCACGAGAACACGGGCAATCATTCTGGCATCGATTCGTACAAGGACCTGTGCAAACAGTATACATTTTGCGATTCCTCTGAGCCCTAAACTTGAAAACCGACCTGCAGTAGCTGACACATTGGATGCTTCGCCGCTCGATGGTTTGTTTGCTGCAGCCCTAAGGTTTAGAGTAGCGGCTTGTATAGCGACCTTAATAATTGAGGATTACGGTCCTGAGGTATGTTTTAGAATAGACTTAAAAAGGAACCCTTCTACCGAGGGAATGGTGTTTTGTTTCGGGCGGTCTCCTCTTACGGGGTTCCGATTTCAAGGGAACCCACCAGATCATCGCTGACACTCAATAAATTTTAAACCCAAAAATCCCCATAGTCCCTAGACCCCCTATAACGCAACCAGAGCGGGCTTCGATGTAGGGTAGTTCTGTAAATTAGGGCCTCGGGCTGTTATGAGGGTACTATAATGGTAGATCTCTAAATTAGGGTTCCTTTGGGGGTTCCTTTTTTGAGGGGGCCGCACCTTGTTTGGGACCTAAGACGGGACTCCCTGATTTGGGGAACAACCCACATGTCTGTAGAAGCGCATTCACATTTGCCACGAAAGTAGCATGCATGTGCAGATATCCGCCCGAATGTATCTCATGTCTGGCAGTTTATGTGACGTGCATCTTCAAGCCCAAAACTCTCGGACAGTGTTTTTGCTGTAAACCCCACAGTTCCAGGGGCACTACCGGGAATGGCGTAGCATTGCACTTCGGGGGGAAAATCCATCATGCATTCTTTAAGGGTCGATGGGACCGGAAAAGTACGAGTCCTACAGATTGACAAAAACCGTGGGAAGCGAAGCAGAAAACCTCCTTATGGGTACAGCTTGTCTTGAGTATCCTAAATGTGCGCTTGCGCAAGGACCGAGTGTGGACACGTGTGGAGCAAGTGGCCATGGTGTCAGCGACACTGAACTGAATGTATAACCTCTCAATGTGGTCCACTGATAAATCAGGCTCATTTCCCTGCTTGCTCTCACCATTAGGAACCTGCTATAACACTTACTAAAGGCTCGGGGTCACTGATCTGGAGTATGTATGGTCTTCCTGGACCCGGAATCGAGGCTGCATGTTCACGTTTAGCTCAGTGTCGACCGCTTTCCCCCCACTCCTTCAACCCACATCCAGAGCACCACTTCTATCAAAATTGGAGCTTTCTATGTTGGAGCTTTCGAGTTTATGGTTTCGGCTGGCTGTGAGCCGGCAAAGTGGGTCTGGCTCGGAGTAAGCTGCTGGCTCGACCTGCATTACTCACCCCCCAATGAGAGTTGAACCTTGAGCTCTATAACCCCCGAACGCCACACACGGAGGAACAAAGCAAGCAATTGGTCTGTTCAGGAGCTTTAAGTGTTCAATATTGTGCAAAATTTAAAGCCCTGCCCTTATACATACATCTTTATATACCTGTATATATGTATATATATATATATATATACATACATACACCTATATATATATATGTATGTATGTATGTATGTATGTATAGCCCCTACACTCCCGAAGCCTGAAACAAGGAATGGAACCAAGAAGATGTTCATCTCCAAGGGCAAAGACGGCTTGGCACCCGTGGATATGGACTTTCTGTCCAGGAGCGTTTTTCTATGAGGGTTTGGGGTTTAGGATTTTGGCGATTCCTGGACTTTCTGTCCAGGACCCAGAGAGCCCAAAACTTCTGAATTAGGCAATATAGCTTAGATTACATCGGGCTTCATATTATGATTTAAGCCGCTATGTTCCTTAATTACGTGGTATTGGGCTCTCTGGGGAGCCTTTTCCTAGGTTCCTGAGCAGTACCCTCAAAGGGTTCCTTAAAGGGCTCCTTCAAGGATTCTATAAGGGATCTATGGGGGTTTAGCGTCTATTAGGTTCCTGAGTAGTACCCATGTACCCTTTTTCTTTTAGGGTCGCCTTCGTTAAACCGAATAGTAGGCAAAAGTGTACCCTTGTTATAATTGGCTACTCAGGAGCCTTTTCTATGACTGCAGGCTACCGTTCAACAATGCTTACCCTTTCGGAAACCTTCGTTCTTGAATACGGATACTTTACCTACCAACAAAACCCTACTTCTCTGTAGGGCCCCTATAATTTGCATACGAGTGTTTATACTAAGAGCTTGCAAAACAGTAGGCTATGGCAGTTTAGGCCCCCTAAACCCTAGCCCTGATCCTTGAAGAACCTACCTTTTTCGGGTTCCCTATTATGATTTCCTTATATAAGTCCTTCAAACGGTACATATTACGGTGTCTGCGGGCCAGGGGCTTCTTTGGGCTTGGACCTTTTGCCTAAAGAGGAGTCGGCCAAACAACAGGAGTTGCACCGTCCTTAGGATCTTCTTAGCCCAAAGGGTCCTAGGTACTGTTATGGGGGATGCTTCCCCAAATCATAATGGTAATTCCTACTACAGTACCGGGCGTCAGGTTGCTGCAGACTCTCACCCCGTCTACAGAAACCCTACATTTGTACTATATAGGTACTTTGGACCCTTTGGGCAGGGCCTGAGATGCAACCCAAAACCCTAAACTCTAAACCCTAAACCGCCCAAAAGGCCCGAATCACAGATGGAGGCCCCCACTTTCGCTGCCCTAAACTCTCCGCTCTCAAACTTTAGAAGGCGCGGGAAGGGCCTTGATAACTAGAATAGGGTTTCGGGGTATTTTATGCCATAATTATACTAAGGAGCCCCAAAAATAGTCTTGGTAATTATTTGGGCCCATATAGTAGGTTCTGATTCGTGAAAAACAGCCGTGACATCAGAATTCCTATTTGTTTCTACTACGTCAAGGTACATCACAAACGGGAACTACAGTACAAACACTCTAGTGGAGACTAGAGCTACTTAGAGGATCATGGGACTTAGTATGTAGGGATATAAGTACCCTAAAACAGGTTATAAGTAGATATAACTATAGTTACCTTACTTGCAACCCTACTTACTAAGTCTCATGGTCCTCCACGTAGGGTGAGCCCTGAAGGCTTTCAACTTCTGCCCCGAAGTTCACCTTATCCTGAGTTTTGGAGTACCATACTTGAACCGTTTTTTGGTACCTGTTCCTTAAAGGAACCATTATATGAAATGAGAGTCTACACTTTTTTCTTCCTGGTTACTTCAAAGTCCAGCTTATTCTCCGGCGAAGACAGGGCACGTTGATGAAGTCCCCGGGTTTAGGGTTTAGGGCTCATGATGACCCGAGGTAAACCTAAGGAAACCGCCTGATGTCGCTTCCCGGCAGGAGTCTGGAGGTGTTCCAGGCAAACATGCAGCTTGGTTGGTTGTTGTTTTGCGTACGGGTTTCGCGCTTATAAGTTGGGTACGGCCCCCACTCAGTAACAGTTGGATAATATTCATAATATAGATACATAAGGCCCTTAATAGTAGGCCTATTATGGACTGTTACTGTATGGGGGCCGTACCCAACTTATAAGGACTTAGCCAGTTTCGGAGGTGCAGCGTTTAGAGTTGGCGGGAGAAGGGTTTAAGGGTTTACCCTAAGATACCCTAAGCCACCACTATTCGGGACCGTAAGGGCTCTACTGAAGGACATTTTCGGGGTCCTGGTAGGGTTCGCACCTTTATCATTTAACCTGAGCTGGCAGTGCATGGGAATTTGGATAGGAACCCAGGGTTTCGAAAGGTCGGGTTTAGGGTTTAGGGTTTAGGGTTTAGGGTTTCAGGGATTAGGTAATCCTCCACCTCCAGAACCATGGGCCTAGTGCAAAACGCAAATCAACACCCCAAACCTTAACCCCTAGCCTGGAGGCTTATTAAAACTACTTAGAGGATCATGGGACTTAGTTTGTAGGCTTATAAGTACCTTAACTAAGGTTATAAGTAGATATAACTTTAGTTATCTTGCTTATAACCCTACTTACTAAGTCCCATGATCCTCTAAGTACCCGAATTCCCAAAATGCCTTCAGCTCAGTGTAAGCGCGAGTCGGGATTGGTGTTGTGTTAAGGTCCGGGAGGATCAGCCACGGCCGTGAACATTAGTGTGATGTCTTGCCGATTTCGCGCCAAACGACAAGAGCCCGAACGACGCCCTAAACCCTAAACCTTAAACTGCGCTGCATGATCGAAAAGGAACGAGTCTTCGCTTCAGACTCGCAGTCTTAACCGCAGTTGCCTCAACGGTTTTTGGTTTAGGGATTTGTAACGCCGGAGAGCGTGAAGGGCTGGCAGTTGCAGCGCCAGTGCTGATATTCGATACAGATAAACAACTTCCGAAGATCACAGGCGAAGGACCTGCTGATCAAGCAATACAGCATGAGGTCTAACGCGGTGGGAAAGACAGTTTGTTTTGGCAACAGCACCGAGCGTCAAAGCTTGCTGCAGATCGGACATTCTCGCACTTGCGTTCACTAGGATGCTCGGTAGTACCCTTATTCCCTTTTTGTAGTCCTAGGTTCCTTATAAAGGTACCCAATACCAAAAGGGAGCCCGTTTTATTCCTAGGTTGCTGGGCATCCTAGTTCATGTGCAAGCCACACTTGTTTGGGCCAAGCGGGCCTGTTGGGGTTTCGGCTGGCTGTTGCCGGCATGCGTGCTCAAAGCATGGCCATTGCAATCTTTCCAACCAAGTACTTGGAGGGTCATGGCACGTAGCAAGTAGGGTTATTAGTACCTTAATTAGGGTTATAAGTAGATATAACTATACTTGCCTTACTTACAACCCTACGCACTAAGTCCCATATCCTCTAAGTACCCCCACTCCTTCCCCAAAGCCTCGTGTAGAACCTAGGTCCTGAACCCGAGTCACTTCGCGAGACCTGACTGTCTAAAACGGCTCCATGTATACTACCATAACCTTATTTCTCCAATACCCAACCTTTAAACTTTAAACTGTTGGAGTTCTTACGGTTTAGTAGTCTGAAGGTTAACTTTGTCTTTCTGTGGCTGATCGGAAGTCAGAATATGAAATTAGGTCGCTAAAAACCATTATCAGGATGGTGTTTGGGCACCAAATTCCATAATGGTAATGTAGGGGCCTTAATAATTACATACACTGTTTTAGGGGGCTCCTTATCGTAGTTATCGTGTAAAAGACCCCAAATCACCATTCCAATCACTAAGGCCCCTTTAATAGTGTATATGGACCCTCTGGATGTCAATCGAGCTGGGGTTTAGGGTTTGGGGTACAATCCTTGAAGAAGCCATACTGGCAGAACAGTTTGTTGAATGCTGTTTTTTCAAGAGGGATATTCTTCTTTGAGATCTTTAGAGTTGAGGACACCCCAAGCACAGGTCATGCTGCCGAAGGAACCATGAGCATCAGGACTACTGTGACAAGGACCGGCTGAGACACAAGTTCTGGGCGGCGATTGCGGCTGTAAGGTCTAGTCCAGGCTGTTCAGTGGTACACTTGTTTTACTTTCAGGTTTCTGGGTTCCTATTATGAAATAAGAAGCCTAAACAAGCATATTCGTTTGTCCCAGTGGGTTACTGAAAAGCCTAGAAACCAATCTATCCTAGCATAACTAGGAGGTTCCGAAACAGGGCACCCTAATATAGTACCCTAAGGTAAAAGCCAGAAAGTTGGAATATGATTATCCTAACCCTTCTATGGTAAATTATAGGGGATCCTACCATTAATCCATATTCCAACTTTCTGGAGTTCCCTTTAATATAGTACCCTAAATAGTAGGACCCTTATTATTGTACAAGGGCTTTCGTGGTTCAATCAGAAAAGCAGTCCTTGGGTTCAGATGTTGTAGGGCGCTGGGATTCGGATGTCACAGGGTTTAGGGTTTAGGGGTTTAGGGTTTAGGGGTTCAGGGTTTAGTGTTTAGAGGTTTAGAGGTTTAGAGGTTTAGGGTTTAGAGGTTTAGGGTTTAGAGGTTCAGGGTTTAGGGTTTAGAGGTTTAGGGTTTAGAGGTCCAGGGTTTAGGGTTTAGAGGTTTAGGGTTTCGGGGTTTCGGATCACAGGGTTTCCAGAGGGTTCTTCAGGATCTTCCTGGGATTCTGTAGGCTTTCAGATGCAGAGGTCACGAGACTGGACACATGAGGTGTACTTAAACTACTATTTGCTTAAGAACCCCCAAAAAATAAAAATGATAATCCCTATATTATCCCTATAAGGAATATATTTTTTATTTTTTGGGGGTTCTTAAGCAAATAGTAGTAAAGGATCATGGGACTTAGTAAAAGGTAACTACAGTTATATCTACTTATAGCCGTGGTTAAGGTGCTCCCCAATCAGCCGTGTTGTGTTTACTATAGAAGCCGAAACTAACACAGCAATTATTCCTTAGGGTTGCTAGTTGCAATAACACTATAGCCTACCTCGACAGCCTACTCCAACCTGTTAAGGCTCCTACATTACTTAGGCTTAGGGATGTTGTTCAAGGGCTCGGGATACCGGTTCTGTTGGTGTGTAGCTCACTTACTCTGCTTCAACCGTTCCCGGCAGACAAGGAAGCCTTCCCTAAAGGGTCCAAGTATCAATATAGTAGGCATGTACTATACTTGGAGGATCATGGGACTTAGTAAGTAGGATTGTAAGTACCTTAACTAAGGTTATAAGTAGATATAACTATAGTTACCTTACTTATAACCCTACTTACTAAGCCCCCTGATCCTTTAAGTATTGTATTG